GATGGTTTGTGTACTCGGTGATAAATACAATCAACCAAAAGGTTCTCGATCATTGCGTCAGACACGGTTGGAGCTTCGGTCAAATAAGTAGGCTCTTTTCTGATCGTCGTTCAATGCTCTATGCGTATACGTAGCTGCCTATTGATCGCGTTGGTGTGGCTTGTGAGTCGCTGATTAAACTTAACGGATTGTCAATCATCGCACCAATCAGAGAAACTTTCAGGCAAGCTTCAGGTTGAGGCTTTTTCACGATTGTTGTTCGGTGGTCTGCGTGCGTCCACCTTTCAATTCGCGTTGGTTTGTGTGAGTCATTGACAAATACATCCTGTAGCGGATTCGTGTTCAGAATTCACCTGCATCGTGAAGAATGGACGGAGCAGCAGCTTTGGTTCTGATGCTGTCAGCAATGGCAGGTAAGGTTTAATATGTGGCACGTCATATCAGGCTCGGGGATACAATGGGCATTCTAATCCATTATATTTTCAAACAAAACCTCAAATGGCAATAAAAGATCGCTATTGAATTTGATTATCTTGAATATTGAGTCGGTTTTAACGGTTTGACCAGAGCATTATTTGGGGATGTCTATACAACATTTGATTTTGATGTGAGAATCGGCGTGGTGGAAAAAATACAAAGAATGTTCAACCGCTACATCTGGTACCAGGTTGTAAACATGTACATACAAAATCTAGTGACATATAATGAACTTTCAGAAGCCGTACGATTAACCCCATCAACACCATTGTTTTGAAACCCTTCAGGGCCAGGTGCATTACACACCCATCCTTATTTCCATATGCTTCAGCTTATTTTCGTAAAATGCATATAGGTGCTATTTGTTTCGGGTTATAAGTTCTTTGTATTTACCCAGATTTACCCAGAAGAAAGAGATATCTTCTACTGTATTCGATCTCAAAGGGGCTAATGGTGTCGTGTTTTCCTTGCACACTCACATCATAGTGATGGTCTCCTGCCATCAAATCTGCTTCATCGGATCGGAGTACAACCCACAATCTGGTATCCCATCCCGTTGGTTCTTACCGAACAAAGATCCGTGCAAATGCACCGCTGTACGTCTCGGTGGGATGCACATCCCTGCTTCGTCATACCACCAGGGGGCGCCCTACTATCTGTACCAGCTTTTCCTGAGCGAGGATTCCGACGAAATTCAAGCTTACTTCAACTGTGAGCCTGCAGATAACAATGCAGGTGAGAGGCATGTTTGGAATGCATCACAAAATTGCGTGTTCATATTAGTATTGCAGTAAAAGGCAAAACATTTTCTGTTTTTAATACCAAGATTGGAAACTTTCGTCAGTGCGAAATTCTTATTTTTTTTTTTTTTGATTTGCAATAACTTCCACCTTTAGTTTTATAAGATGAAAGGTCCCATCAGGGTTTTCAATTCCCAAACAAAGTTCAGAAACTCATGATCTTCTACGCAATATAAGTTTATTTTAGTATCAATATTAGTTTCGTTTGTTAACTCGTTTGTTACCAACAGAGTGTTCCAGTCTGCAGCCCCTAGGTATGGAGGACGGGACAATCCCAGATGATCGTATCACGGCGTCTAGTAGTCGGTCCTATTGCCCTTCCGGTGATGCACGCCTCAACAATAACAACAGATGGATACCTTTATAGTAGGTATCAAAGGGAAATACCTCACCTGATACTTTAAAACTCTCATATCTGTATTCACTCTACATTACTACAATATGCCACAAACCGGTCCTCAATGGGCTTTAATAAACATCATCTAAAAATTGGACCAATGAAGTTTGGTGCTGCTGAGTTTTTTTCTTTGTTTTACAATGTATATTATTTCGTTTTATATTGGTTTTCATTAAAAAGAAAATCTCCGACCGAAGCCCAACACAGATGCGCAACCAAAGCGCACACTGTTAAACGCGTTTCAATAATTGTGTTCGATTTCAAATCCATTCACACAATTGTTTTTTGAGTAAAATTGTTATTTCATTGTTCCTCATCCCTTCTTCACTCTGTGTACAGTCACGATGCCAATCCCTGGATCGAGGCGGACCTGGTTGAGAGCACAGTGGTGTCTGGGGTCACCACACAAGGTTCTGGCAACATTTGGTTTGTAGAGCAGTACAAGGTGGCGTATCAGAAGCAGCCCTCATCTGACTACGAACACGTGAAAGATGGGAACGGAAACATCAAGGTGAACATCAATTTTAAGTCTTTCTGTAAGCTAAATGCCACTTGTATCGGTAATAAAGTTTGAAAAAAAAAATCTTGTCAACTGAAATATTTTTGGATATTTGTTTGGGCTTTTGTTGGGCTAATGTTCTGAAGCTTAAAAAGAACTCAAGGAGCCCAGTCAAAAATATGGCATGATATTTTTCCCCGGACACACAAATCTGTTTTTACATATCACGGGTTGTTAACATTCTATTTTGAGTTACGATTGCCCGCTTTTCTGTATAGTCTTAGTCTAAGACAATACATTACTTAGGCTGTTCTTGTTACAAATGAGCGTTTATTGTATTGGTCTTCGTTTCAGGTATTCATCGGTAACACTGATATCGAAACCCCCGTAACTAACCTGTTTGACGAGAGTGTGGTGGCCACGGTAGTGCGCATTGAGCCTACTGCATGGGAGGGAGGTGTTGCTCTGCGTTTGGAGTTGCTTGGATGTCGCCGTGATTAATTATTTACCGCGATTCTGTTCGACAGCACTGACAAAATTTCATGCAATACAAACATAAATGCGGAGGGAGGTGTTGCTCTGCGTTTGGAGTTGCTTGGATGTCGCCGTGATTAATTATTTACCGCGATTCTGTTCGACAGCACTGACAAAATGTCATGCAATACAAATTAAAATGCGACATGGAGATAATATTAATGTTGATTGTGAATGCAAAATTTGATAGGAGGACAATTTATCGGATATCAAGAACGAACTGAAGATTTGAAATGTCATAGGCACTTGCGTGAAATGTGTACATATAAGAAGTATATGATGATGTTGCTCGGTCTTGAACTAAACATTATCTCGCGGGAAAAGACATTTGGGCTAATGTTTACGATATATATTAATATTAATCAACCTTTTATCGTTTTTTCGACCTACCTTCGTGGAATACAATTTTCAAAAGGTATCTTAAATTTTAAAAGTGTACATAATTATGTCAGACAGAAAAATTCACCTAAAGAAAAGTAACAGCGAAGTAGGCGTATGGGTTAAACACAAATTGCCTTGTGTATCTTATAAAAGTTGTTTAGCCTTTTGCTCAAATGTGCTTTCACTCTTAATAGAAACGTCTTAACTATTGCGGCACGTTGTTGTATAGGTAACAAATACATTTAATTAAGCTGATCGGTGTGCTGTAATCGTAATTCTTCAATACAATGTATAACGTTTTCATACAGTATTCGAAAGTAAAAAAAAAACATGATATGTTAAAACGTGATACATAAACGACAAAGAGAAAAATCGAATCATCGGCAATTCAATTTTATTTGGTGATACAATTTTGTTTTGTTTTTAGTAAAGGCCGGTTCTTACTTCACGCGAATGCGATTCCAAGGCGCATTTTGAAGTCAGGAAACATTGCTGGGAAATTCACCATATAGTTGAAATGCGTTCAACTTTTGCGAACTCAACGTGACGACGGCGTTTGCGCTCGCTTAAGTGCCGAAGGAACCCGCGTAATGTGGCCTTTGCTTTAAATGTATAAGCAAGTTATTCACTGAGGTATTTTGCTGTAAATAAGAAAAATTAAGAAGCGATATTATCATATTATTATTTAGGTGTACAGTTTGGTGTTAGGTGTATAGTTGTTACCGTTCTTTACAGTTTTCGACATAAGAAGATAATGTGTAAATACATGTTGATATTTATGTGTTGTCATGTTAGTACAGTGTTGGACAATAATTTTGCAAGATTTTATCAAAGACACATTTCTTGCTGCGGATCTTCAGGTTTATCAGAATATCATTGTTTCAAACATTCCGGGGTTAACTAGAGTAGAGGGAAGTTTCGTCGGTGAAGATGAATTACAGGATGCAGAAGCTGAACAAGTGTGTAATTCCCAATATTCACAGTTTGGTGTGATGTTCACCTGTGATGCCGAGTTGCCATAAAGAGAACCTTTAAAGTGGCAGTCAACTTGATCCCCTTGAAGGATATACTTTCCAATACTGTTCAATTTTCATCAATTTGTGTTTTCGTTTTATGAGTATGCTCGTGCTTGTGAAATAAAAATGCTAAGAACGAATTCCAGCATTTATTTCTGCTTGTTTCAGCTTTGCTTGATTTGCTCTATCGAATCGTCAGTGGAATCGGATCAGGTGATGCGCATTGCGATAAGATGAAATAGGTGAGATGACTTGTGGTCAGCACAAATTTGACTGTCATTTTTGGCAAAAATTTCAAAATTCTGTAAGCAGGCATGCAACTGGGGAGTCACAAAAAAAGAGGAAATTCACATCTTTCCAAGACTTTGTACAGCGTTTTTCTATTTTCAATGGCACACATTAAAAGTGAAAAAAAGAGGAAATCAGCTGATCCGAGGAAAAGTTGCATGTCTGTGTAAGAAGAACCAGTGTACATGTATATTATGTTTTTTCTTTCCGCTTGTCCCGAAATGTGTGATGTTCTGATTTGTTTTTGTCATCGTCATTTCGTTCAATAGAAATATCCATGGCAGTGTAAAATGCATCGGCAAGAGCATTAATTTCTACTACTTTCTGTCACTAGAGGGCGCCCTTGGTAGTCTGGATTTCAGAAAACGGGGGACAGCAAATATCCCAACATACCTTCTTTAAGTGAACAAAATGAGCAAGTATTTCATCCAACCTTATCGTCGTCCTTCATTTTTTTTTAAATTATATTTTCCAAAAACTTAGTTCACATTACTAGTGAATTAAACGATAGTGCTACTCAAACTAGCATAAGTAAATCTCCGTAAAATTGCTAAGTATTAACCCTAACATTCCCAAATCCCCCAATTTTATAACATGATTATTCATACACCTTTCCTACTGCTTTTCTTCGGGGAACATCTACTTCAGGAAATATATAGTCTGAAATATTAAAGACGAGTCTCCAGGTCCCCTCCTGTAAAAAAGTATTTGGTCCAATAATACTAAAAGCATCTCAACCAATCACCAACTGTTTTGGACAAAGATGAATATTCATGACCAGAAACCCTTTCCACCATTCGATGCATGACGACAGAAGCTTTACAAGAAATGAGTTATTGCTTTGAGAAATACTATATTTAAAGTTAAACTCTGTGTAAAAAGGCACTTTGCACTATTTTAGCAAACAGTCCATAGATTAATTTCATCTAGGAACTGCAAAACAGTCTAGTAACTACCTTTACTTAAAACTAATCGAAACTCATGTCAAAAAAGTTGGATCCATCTCAACCCTTGAAGGATCTTTCTCGAAGGCAAAATGGCAGGGGAACAGCAACAGGGAATGGACACACAAGAAATAAACAAGTTTACACGTAGTGCGTGCCCACAACTTCAATCGAAGACCAATATGTTTCTATCTCCTTTTTCTTTGCAAGGCGTTATCAGGATTCATTTTCTTTTAGCTGGCAAAATAACATAAAGTTGCTAACACTTGAAATTTGTGCTGAGCAGAAACTAAAGGGCTACCAGGCACTATAGTACCAAGGCTACTCAGCCTTTAACTGGTTCCCAACCTGTTATGGGCTAAACAATTTCACTTCCTGCTAAGCACCTGAGAGGCTGTTAAAGGAATGAACTTGATGACCGATTCCTTTTTTATTTCAGATGGCAATGCTGATTACCACAGCAGGCAAGAAAAGAGAGAATATAAGTGTGGGTCCTGTGAGCACTCCGAAGAAACTTCGGGCGTGTGCTAGGAGATTCTTCAGCGTATTGTCTTGAGGTTCTTGGGTCTTTGACTTTGCCTTTTTTCTGGAACTTTCCTGTTATAAAAGAGAGGGGAACATTAGAATATTCAAAATATGACTTAGGCAAAGTTATGTACTGATGCCACATTTCAATCACGTGTTTTTTATAAACCAACTTTTGAGGGCATTTTGTGTCAGGCCTTATGTAATGGCAGTGTTGTGAGTTTATCACAAGTCCTTATGAGTCAATCACAAGTCCATCACAAGTCAATCACAAGTCCATCACAAGTCAATCACAAGTCCATCACAAGTCAATTACAAGTCCATCACAAGTCCATCACAATGTCATCACAAGTCTATCACAAGTCCATCACAAGTCTATCACAAGTCCTACACAAGTCAATCACAAGTCCAACACAAGTCCAACACAAGTCAATCACAAGTCAATCACAAGTCCAACACAAGTCCGTCACAAGTCCATCACAAATCCATCACAAGTCCATCATAAGTCCGCAATAGTCCATCACAAGTCAATCGGAAGTCCATCGCGAGTCCGTTGAAAGTCAATCACAAGTCTAACACAAGTCCAACACAAGTCCATCACAAGTCCAACACAAGTCCAACACAAGTCAAACACAAGTCCGTCGCAAGTCCAACACGAGTCCAAAGTCCAGCATTTCAAATGAACTTAGACAAAAGGATTCCTCAATTATTGTTCATCCCCTGTTGCTAGTGACTGGGACTTGTGAATTGAGTTGTGCTTCACTTGTGACTGGACTTATGACAGTCTTGTGATGAACTTGCGATGGACCAACATTGAGACTTATTAACACATTTTGATACAAGTAACTCCCATGAAATCCATTTTGCTACAAAACGCCCCATTGATCAATAATAAAAAAAAATACATGTACATGTATTAGGAAGAAATGAAACAGTACAATGGATACCTGGATTATTCCATTTCGTTGTAGGTGTTCTTTGAGTCCCTTGGTTTCTTTGGATATTGCTGGCATGTACTCCCTCTCGAGTTTCCTCTTCCACCACGATGGGGAGCCAGATCTATCAAAATAAATCAAAACAAAACAAAATTGCGGATCTATCTTGGGATCAATGTATGGAGTGCCTGATCAGTGAAAATGGTGACAAAGGGAAAACATCTGCACCAGCTTAGATCCCACATTGGTATGGAGGGCCAATTCTAAAAAAAAAAAATTATAATAATAACTGAATTTGAAACTAACCTCCTATATGGCGGTATGGATCAAGTATGGACAGCCTTTGATGTCTGTCTATTGTTCTATCAGAAAGACAGCCAGAACTGTTTTCTTACTTGAAAAGGCTGTTCAGAAAACTTGACACCAAATGATCAACTTACCTGAAGGAGGTGTAGCGGTACGTGTACAGGTTTGCTCTGATGAATTTGGGCGGTTTCTCCGGAAAGGGGTTGCTTGCTATCAGATCAAGAACTAAGGAACAAATTATGATAAACTATTAGCCAATAACTCATGCGCAGCAGATCCAAACTCCATGAGGTGAATTGCTTAAAGAACCAGGTTCTAGCTTTTCCATACCAGGATTTCATTGTTTATCTTTTACCCAGCCTGCTGTAACATTACCCCTTCAGGCAATTGGCCAAGCCACAGGTAGTTGCCAGCCACACACTCTGGACACACAGTTGTGAATTTCTATATGCCCGAGGACAATGCTTTGTATTTCCCTCTGTCCCTGTAATATAACACTCTCCCATAGACTAAGCACATAACCGTACCATCGAGGACCATTTTCAACAAAAGACCCAACCTTTGAGGACTAACAGATCTTTTGTTCTCCCTTTGTGTGTCAGTCTAAAGCCATACATGTACACACAGACACACACCCAGTTGTGAATTTCTACACGCTCGAGGACAATGCTTTGTGATTCCCTTTGTCCCTGTAATATAACAGTCTCCCATAGACTAAGCACATAACCGTACGATCGAGGACCATTTTCAACAAAAGACCCAACGCTCGAGGACTGAAAGGATCTTTTGTTCTCCCTTTGTGTGTCTATCCTTGATTGTAAAGCCATACAAAAGAGCATATACACCATGTATACACACTCCACGTACGCGTATGGACATAGACCTAAGGAAGAGTCCCACAATTCAGGCTTTCTGTTGATCATACACCATTTTTAACGATTCAAAAAATAACACACGGTTTAATTACTTGATGAAATACAAATAGTACATTGGTTATTATTTTTTTTAAAATTGGCATGTGTTTAGAAAGATATAGGTATGCCCCACAAGTCGTTCAGTCAAGCAATACTAATTCTTCCCTGCTGGTGTTAGGTATTCATCCGGTAATAAACTCCCCCAAGGGGATTACAGCTTGAGATAAGAGGGGGTTGAAATCCTGGTAGGGGCTCGGGGAAAAACCCAAATATAAGCTCTATACTCGGGTTTTCTGGTATAAGAGGATTCACCCCATGCTGCATAATAATGACTCTTCAGTAGTATCTAAGAATTGTTGAGTATTGTTTTTCCAAATGCTGATTCATACTCAGAAGGAAAGCAGAATTGTAGCAGATCATATTCACATTGTCAATAAACATTGGCATTGCCTGGATCTCATTTGACACTAGGGGTGCTCTTTCCCCCCTTTTTCTCTTTCTTCTGATTAATATTTCAAAAATCCACGGAGGAAAGGGGGCACGAGTAGACTACTCCATCATTTTGAAAACAGAAATCTTCACTAGTTCTCTGGCTTAAAGGTATATATAGTCCATCATTTGTCATTTGACCATTTTATTCATTTGAAGCATCAAAAGTGTTCAAAATCTAAAGCTGACCAACTACATGTAACCTAATAAAGTTTCAGCTGAGCTACAGCTGTATATTTTGAGAAAAACAACATTCTAGTATCTCGATTTCAAATCAAAAGTTGCTGAATCATGTTTTGAATTGGACTTGAATTCAGCGTCTGAGACACATTCTTACTGAGCCAATTGCAGCTAGGCGATGTCGCGCACTGATCCAACGAATTATAGCAACCACGCGCACGTGTACGTCGTGCAAATGCTGGTGCGCACTTAGCCAAATAAAAAAAATGAACTACTATTTTAAATTTCCAACGGTGCGTCTTAAGAAGCACCGTTGGAAAGGCTTTCTTTTGTTGATTTCTTCAAAATAACAGCTTGCCAGAAAGAATAAGTTCACAAGGAATTTAGTCCCATTACTATCTTTCAACCAAGTATGTTTTTCAACAATAATTACGTCAGTTACTTTCGGATAGCTGCAAATGATGGACGGTAGCTTTAACTACTAAACAAAATCCACATGCAAACATCTTTTTCTTTTTATTTAGGGTGGGGGGCCTTGATCGCAGCACAGCATACATTCTCACCTTCTGGTTTGCCTTCCAGTAGCCTATATGCAAAGTTAATGAACCAAGGGGTGCGCTCGTAGCTTCCCAGTGCCGCAAACCACATCTGCCAATCCAGACGGGGCTGGTGCGGGGCCACAAATGGCGGTGAAACGCTCACGTTTCCCGGTTTGTACAGGAACTCATAGGCCTGTATGGAAAGGACACACAGTCGTTTTTTGCTATGCTTCCGAGGATTGGCTTTGTGTTTTCCTTTGTCCCTGTAATATAACACTCTCCCATAGACTAAGCACACAAACCTGCGTTCGAGGACAATAGGCACCTTCCTTCGAGGATCAATGGCCCCTTTGTGCTCCTTTTGTTGTCTGTCCTCAGGCGTAATGCCATGCAGGAACATCAATACAAGCTTAACTCAACACTCCAACCCCCAATAAATCTAAAGAACACAGCTATAAGCTGCATGAACTTTAACAAAAAATATCCCCTTCACACCTGTGATTTTCCAATCAATTATACAGGGTGGATAAAAAAAAAACGAAACAGAGATATAATTGCTAATTGGAACAGAAGTAGGGCACATGTGAATCAACGGGAGATATCCTCTGTTAGGGGTGAATCTCCTCTTTAAAATGACACCCTGATCATGTCATTGCATTCATGGTTGACTGAGCAGTGACCAATTTTATGATAGGGTATATTTTTGCGCCACTTTTCAATTGTGGTTTTTGTGGTGTCATTTGTCACAGAGTGAAAGGCTATGGTTACCAATCAAGGCAGGTGGGGAAAAAAAGAGATTTCACCATGAAAAGTGGCACAATTCTCTAAATAGACCCTCTCATAAAATTGGTCACTGCTCAGTCAACCGTGAATGTAATGACATGATCTGGGTGTCATTTTAAAGAGGAGATTCAACCCTAACAGAGGATATCGCCCTTTGATTCACATGTGCCCTACTTCTGTTCCAAGTAGCAATAATATGTCGGTTTTGTTCTTTTTTTTATCCACCCTGTAGAGAGCACTGGCTAGTGAAAAATAAGCCTAACATAAACACCTGTTGTGATGAGCAATCCTTTGAGAAACCCACTGGGAAGTTCTACTGTTACAAATACTGAGTAACGGCCAGAAGTGCAGCGAGAAATTTAACACGGGGGAGGGGGATTACTGGAAATATTTTTACATATTCTGGTCAGCTACATAAATTCAAAATGCAAATTGTTTTGGCAAGATAGTCCTCTAATAAGCCATTTGCGAGTCAAATTTGAATAAAATCTGGAACGCTGACTTAATCCAATGCTTTGCAGGTTTTAACTTTGCATTCTCCTGACCAAAGAGACTGTTACCATATCACGTGATTCAGGGCAATCCTATATGCTAGCAACCCCAGCTCCAGAATGGTCTGGTGTCTTTGTGCCATTCTCACCCATTGTGAACGATGTATTGGTGCCGAGCGTCTCTTATATAACCATGCAAGAGCTTTCCCCGAATCATGTGATTAGCAACAGCGTCTTTGGTCTGGAGAATTCAAAGTTAAAATGTGCCAAGCATTCTGAGCAAGTCAGTGTACCAGAGGTTTTTCAAATTTAAATCCTGTGCCAAAAAAGTCCAACATTCAGAAAACAAACATTTAAACTATTTAATGTTTTTTTCTTCAATGAAATTATATATTACATTATGTATTACATTAAAGCCGGACATAATGGGCAGACATCGGCCTTTGTGACGTATACATTTTTTAACAGTTCTTAAAATATTTGCTAAACTTTTACAAAATTAACAGCAAATTTACATCCTTACTAATTTGATGATAAAAAAGAAATAATACCTTCCATCCCTTATTGAGGTCATTGCTCCCCTCGACGACGACCTCAGGACGACCTCCGACCCCTGTCATCCTTCTGAACAGCCCGTACGAGTGAACCAGGTTGAACGACTGCACATTGTGGTGCAGTTGCCGCACCTCTGGCGAAAGGTTAGCAGACGCCGTCTGGTCAACCATGCAGTGCGGAACCTTTGGTTAAATACATTAAAAAAAACAGGGGGGAAAAGCTCACTGAATGTGAACTCCAGATCTGGGCCCAATATTATGGAAGTAAAGAGCAAGCCGAGAACCAGTTACAGCCAATGTACATCCTATGTGTTTTGGTTGGTTACCCAGTCCTTCTGATTTGAAAATCATAGGCATGGGGAAAAAATTTAAGCACACCTGGGTTTTGCTAAACGCGTGTGATTTTTGTGGTCCAAACTGGGACAATCTGGTATTTTTTTTATAATATTCATCTTTGTTTACGGTAAAGCCATTTCAAGACGCAAATGTATGCCGAGGTGTGCGGTACAGGCATGCAACTGGGAATTAAGAAAACACTATTTAGAAAACACCATGCCAAACAGGTTTTTCTCGGGATTTTTTTTCCCCGCATGCTGCGAAAGATCCTAGGAGTCACCTGATTAGACAAAATAAGACATACCACCATCAGACAAGACACTAGGGATAAAAACTACCATCCTTGACTCCGCTTCTTTGAATACATTAAAAGGAAGAAGCCCCACCCGATATCCTAAGCTTGTACTATGATCATACCGACAAAGCGATTGGCCCAGTTGATGGGTCGTGCTATTTAAGCTTCAACAAGCGTCAACAAAGAATTTTGGGGTTGGGTTTCTTTTACGGGTATCCGGGTACCGGTGTTTTACTTCAACAGAGAACCAGCCCGGGTCTGGACACTTGTGCCCTTAAGCAAGGCACTTTACCATTATTGCCTTATCCTTCGGATGGGGCGTAAAGCCGTAGGTCCAGTGTGTTGTGTAATGCAATGCACTTAAAAGAACCCAATAACACTTATCGCTGAGAGAAGGGATTTGCCCTGGTGTTTCTGGCCTCCTGTTAAAACTCCCCTGCGGAGTCTTTAGAAGAAGAAACAACCAAGTACCTATTTACAGGTAGTACAGGAAGTGGCCAGTTCCTGTACTACCCGTAAATTCCAATGGTAACAAATTCAAATTCAAATTTGCTAAGACATTTTTTGTTTCTCTGACACATATAAGGTAAAGGTAAAGATACTCATAGCCATTACTGGCCGTAGGGGCAGTGGGATGTTAGAGGTCCACTGTGTCTTGGGCGCGGCATATGAGTGGCGATGCCCAGTCCTCTCCTCTCGCCGTCTTACCTTCCCTGAACGAAACAGGTACCCATTTTACTGTTGGGTCGTCAGAGAGAGTTTTCCAGTTTTTGGTTTGAATGGGATTCGAACCGCCAACTTCCACTCCGTAGCTCCACGCTCTAACCGCTCAGCTACGAGGCCCCTCTATATACCCTCGGACACATACACTGACCAATAGAAGTGCATTTTGCTCATGAATATGTATGAGATGTAATCACGTGACTTACCAGGCTGATGGTAAACATGTAAATGGCCACACTGGTAAACACAAAACACTGGCAGGAAGACCACACCTTGGCTAGAATGCCCTGCTCTTGTGAGATCGATCTAGAATAGAAAACAAAAAATATGGAGTCAAGCACTTTGGACACAATTTGCAAACATTCAAAAAAACTAAACAGACCAAAATTGTTATTAAACATCCTACTTCATTCATTTATTCAAATGGTTTATTCAATCAAATCATGACTAGCAGTTAAAGGGATTATACATCATTTGCTTTTGCTGTAATTTTCAGAAATGGATGGAATTGGGGGGTTGGAAATATATGGCAAATATAGTTACACTGACTTTTTTGAGGTTTTGGGTTCAAAAATGCTATAAAAACCAAGAAAAACAATCATTTTCCTGTAGTCTGGTTCCCTGACTCCATTTAAGAAGAAACAGAGCAGTTTACATACATTGGGGAATTGTAAGGTCAGGGAACCAGTCTAGCTGGCTTGTACCTGTTCATAGGTGTGTAATCGATTGCAAACAAGTGCGATGGTCAACTTGGGCCAGTATTTGAAAAAAGCCAGTTTTTTCCAACGCTGATCGGCCGATCAGCGTTGGAAATTGATACAAAAATACCACTTTTCTTGAAAATGACAGTATACCGGGTGCCATGATTTTACAGGATGCTTTACACTGTCATTCACTAACAGTCCAGCAAGGTATTTCAAAATGATTTTGTAGTTTTATTTTTTGATGTTTGCAAATGTTGTATTTTTCCTTTAAGGACTGAATTGAACATGATTTACATAACTGGAATAAAATAGCAATCCCATAAAAATACCATTATTAACATTAAAATATGTGATGCGATCAAGCTAAATGAGTCGTTTGTCGGGAACTTTCACTTGGAGATACTGGCCAAAACAGGGCTACTTCATCACATCACTTCATCACATTTCTTGGTGTTCCGACTTCCAAACTTTTTTTTCACTAAAGAGGATGGCGAGCTAAAATTTCAACAAATTAACAAAACCAAACTTGTACAAATCAAATAAACCCAGAATTTTGATATTAGGTTGATGAAAGTGCAAGCTCTAACCTCCACAATGCCATGAGAACTTCAGCACCCAGTGAAATCTTGCCCAACCATATAGTATAGGGCATGATGTCTCGCAGTCCGTTAAAAAAGTCCTCATCGGTAAAAGCTGTGTGAGAAAATATAAAAACACTGCAAGTGAGAATTGCGCAATCCCCCAGCATGTGGGCAGTTTTATAAAGTCAGTGTTCCTAACCAAAATGGAAGATTTCTTTTGTTCTAGTGACTTTGACTTTTGAACTGTCGGCCCTGTGCACAGAGCCATGGAAGTAAACTAAAGTCTCTTCTACATGGACAATTACTGGATGTTTATTGCTCACCTATTTCCGATTCTACGCTGTAGTTTTCCGCGTTAATCCTGAGATTGAAGAGTCTGACCGTGCTGTACGCCAGCCCTGCGTAGACGGTGAACGACACCAGCTTGGCCAAACCACGGCCAACTCTGGCAGCAAAAGAATCGCCTAGGATACGAAACAACAGTAGCAACTAAGATTCACTGTCAATTTGCAGGCTATACTGGTTGATGTGAATAGTAATGTATACAAATATATTGACTGCTCCAAGTGGCATAGTATAAAAATATTGACTGGTTTGAGTGATATAGTAAAAATAGCCTCATGAGGCAACCGATTGATGAGCATTGTGTTTTCCAGATTCAAAGCCACAGAATTTGGAGGGTGCATGTGGATAGTATAAAAATATTGACTGCTTTAAGTGGTATAGTCCTGAGGTAACCCACTGAATGAGCTTTCTGTTTTCCAGATTCAAAGAAACAGCGAACAAAGGGTGCTTGTGGATAGTACAAAAATATTGACTGCTTTGAGTGGTATAGTCCTGAGGTAACCCACTGAATGAGCTTTCTGATTTCCAGATTCAAAGAAACAGTGTACAAAGGGTGCTTGTGGATAGTACAAAAATATTGACTGCTTTGAGTGGTATAGTAAAACTATAGCCTTGCTCTCCAGAGGCATGAGTATTCTATTTTCCAGGGTAGAAGCCATGGAATATGAGGGTACATCTGGTTAGTATAAAAATATTAACTTTCAGTGGTATGGGCTCCGTGCGCCAACAAAAGAGGGCGCCGTTTTACCACTTTTGAGAGCCACATGGACGGGACACACAGCATGTGCGTACTGTATTGGTTCGCGCGCGAAGTACGCACAACTTCCTGAATGTGCAAAAGCTATTAGCCACGGCATCTTCGCGTGAGCGTCAGGCGTCGTCAGCGCGCGATTGCCTTCGAATTGACCTTTTGATGGTCTCCCAGACTAATCCCCGCCCCCAAAAACTTTGGATCATTCAAAATACGCAGTGGGTGAATCGGGAACCAGTCTAGGTCTCCCCCAACTCTCCTTTTCTTGCTGTTGATGAAGGGGTACTTGTGCACAGAGCCCATAGTAAAAACAGGCTCCTGAGGTAACCCACTGGGCATTCTATTTTCCAGATTTGAAGCCACAGAACATGGAGGGTGCATGTGGACATTAGAAAAATATTGAGTGCTTTGAGGGGTATAGTAAAACTAGCCTCCTGGAATGATATGCGGCGTGTTCTAGTTTCCTGAGGCAAAGCTGAGGAAATAGATAGATCTCTTTGGATTTTAAAGGATCTTGGAAGGTTTGTGATAAGAAAATACCTTGTATTTTGTAAAATAATGCTTGTTTACGTACTCTTGATAGCTGGTTTATTTTTGCCCAGGAACTGATCGTCAAGTAGTGGGATGCACAACGTGACCGTCAACAGATTGAAGAAATTGTAGTTGCCTGTCAACACAATGAGAACCTGCAACAAAATCTGACCAACGACAACAAAAAACAAAGATATAAAGGCAATGTAACTATAGAATTGTGAACTAAATTATACTAAAAGATTTTGAGTTAAAAAAGTTTGAAACAGTTAAGCTCATCACCCCCTGCATATATACAAGACCTCATCAAAATATCCGTTGTTATGAACAACTCAACCTGTGTGTCCTCGTTTCAGAAGATGCTCTTGTTAATGAAATATTATGCATTAAGAGTTTGCCTGCTTGAAAAGAAATTATATCTGAATCTACCTAATCACTGCAAAACAAGAGGTCAAATAACTTCATAATGATCTTAAGAAATAGGTCTCTCTCAAAGACAGCCATCTCTGTAGCAAAACTGCAACTGCATATTTTATGCAATCAAGCACGCATTGCGCAGTGTTGAAAATGTTCCAAACACGCTTAAAGGGAAGATACAACATTTGCAAACATCAAAAAACGAAATGATCAAATTATCACGAGATACCTTACTGAATTGTTAGGGACCGACAGTCCAAATCATCCTTTAAAGTCGTGGCTATGGTGTGCTGACATTTTCAAAAAAAAATGTATTTTTCCAACGCTGGTCGGCCAACCAGCGTTGGAGAAAACTGGCTTTTTTTCAAAAACTGTTCCTAAGTTTTCGTATTTAGTTATTCTGACTTTTCTTTGCAATTGATTACACACCTGAAACGAGGTACAAGCCTGCTAGACTGATTCTCTGAGCCTACAATTCCCCAAGTGTATTAATATCTCTGTTTCATTTTAAGTGGGGTCAGGGAACCTGACTACAAGAACATGATAGGTTTTCTTGGTTTTTCCAGCGTCTACAAGCCCAAAACATGTCAGTTTAAACATATTTTCTATAACATACTAATCCTCCAAATCCATTTATTTCTGAAAATAACAGCAAAAGCAAATGTTGTACATTCCCTTTAATACTCAAAATGTGTTCAAAATGCGACACAGCCGATGTGCATTATGCAAGTTGATGCTCAAAATGCCGATGCACATGGCTGGTCTGTAGGAAATGACGTCATTGGAGAGAGACTTATTAACTCAACAAAAACTACAGATTCGCAAGTGGGCAGATTTAATCAGCCTTTACACTCTCTGGGTTCAAATTAATGCAAAAACCTGTCTAAAAACAAAAAAGTTTCTGATATTTACCTGTGAGAACCAAGAGAACAGCCTGAGGTTTCGGATCGGGACGAAGAAGAGGAACGGGGTGAAGCACTCTATCAGGTAGACGGCCGCGACGCTCAGCTTCTGAAACCACTGGGGCAGCTGGTGAGCGTACCACGCCAGGGGGGTAGGGATGCACTGGTTACAGATAATAATAAAAATAGCAGGTTCAGATAAAGCGCACAGGACAAAGCTAGATCAAGGCACTTGACAATAAATACACTTAATTAATGAATTAATGAGCTCTGAATAGTTCGGTCTTCAAATGTCAGACTGGCAGGTTTCTTGAGGGAGCTTGTTCCACAGATGGGGGCCAGAATAACCAAATGCACTCTGGCCGATCGATTTGTGGTAAGTGTTGTTGAGTCTTGTAGTTTACATTGTCGGCTGTCGCAGTGATAGAAGGTGAGGAGATTGTTTTAAGGTAGAAGGGTGCTGAGGAGTGAATGCATTTCCAGACGAAGGGCATGTTTGAACTTGATTCTCTCAGAAACTGGAAGCCAGTGAAGTTCGTGGAGGATAGGGGTGATGTGTTGAAATTTGCTGGTTCCATTTATTAAGCGGGCAAATAGGAGCAAAAAATATTAAGATTGAAGGCAAATGACCTTGAAGATGAATTATCAATGAAGTAAGTTAACATTATTGTAAAGTTGAACAATGAAATTGACTGAAGCAGGGTTTGAACCTGTGACCTCCGGATTGCTGTTCCGGTGCTCTACCAACTGAGCTATCCAGCCCCATGTTAATGGTTCCCCATTTTGTCAATGTCTTTGTTCAAGTGGCGCTAGTCAGAAACCATGAACCCGTACATGCCATGTAGCAAGGAATCACGCCCAAAGTCACGATGTAAGCAACATTAGCAATGGTTGTAAAATAAACTGGCGAAAATGGCAGGGTTTACATGCACCATTATTTTCAGGACAACCCCTGATTTGTCCGGAGCTTACCTGCGACTCGTAGTGCCAGTCCAGCGCGGTCAGCCCCCACCACGTGGGGCAGCGGCTGGTCAGCTTGACCACCCCCGAGGCGAACATGAGCCGGAACAGCAGCCAGCGCACCAGCCATAAGGTGATGGTATCGTGCTGGCTGGCCTGTGGAGGGCGCCACTTACGCAGGTGTAAAGGCGCAACGAGGATGGTTAAGAATCCAGCTTCGAGTAAGAGGATGTCCCACTGGAACCAGAGAAATGTCTGGCCAACCTACAAGTACAGTGTGAGGATTAAAGGGAAAATACAATATTTGCAAACATCAAACAATAAACCTACCAAATCATTTTGAAATACCTTGCTGGACTGTTAGTGAATGACAGTGTAAAGCATCCTGTAAAATCATGGCACCTGGTATACTGGCATTTTCAAGAAAAGTGCTATTTTTGTATCACTTTCTAACGCAGGTCGGCCAACCAGCGTTGGAAAACACTGGCTTTTTTTCAAATACTGGCCCCAATTGACCATCGCACTTGTTTGCAATCGATTACCCACCTATGAACGGGTACAAGCCAGCTAGACTAGTTCCCTGACCTTACAATTCCCCAATGTATGTAAACTGCTCGTTTCTTCTTATATTGAGTCAGGAAACCAGACTACAGGAAAATGATTGTTTTTCTTGGTTTTTATAGCATTTTCGAACCCAAAACCTCAAAAAAGTCAGTGTAACTATATTTGCTATATATTTCCAACCCCCCAATTCCATCCATTTCTGAAAATTACAGCAAAAGCAAATGATGTATATTCCCTTTAAAACAAAGATGAAAAATCAGTCACATTAATGTGGCAAACATTGCCTCAGTTTGAAGATTATATTAAGAAACAAAAGCCGTAAAAACTACAATTTTAAAAGCTGCCCCGCCCCCTGTGCTGAAAGCCAGAGTGTAACATTGCGTCAATGAGGGCAGCAAACAGAAAGGCCAGATGTTTACGTCATGGTACTGCTCTAGCACTCCCACAAAAACAAAGTCCTATATAGGTTTTCACACCGTAAATTACTTGATTTTGTTCCCCCATTGATATTATTTTATACAATGTAAATGGTTTTATAACTTTTTAAAATGTTCTGCTCAAGAAAGCAGGTCACGGGTTCGAGTCCCACCCAAGCACACTTTGTGAATTTTTCTTGTCAGCTCTTGGACAGCAGTTTACAGTGCTTAAAGAAATTATGTGGGCATGGAGAGAAAAACACACTATCACAATTACACGGAGTTGGTTGGGCCAAACGGACATTACCTCAGTTCTCATTCTGGGTAAATCAAAAATATAACTGCTGAGTGCCAAGTCCTTGTCATCTTGTTTAATATAAATATCATTTAGCAACGGTCGCAATCATGTCATTTTTTTCCAGATACTTTGCAAAATAAAGCAGGATTTGCACTGCGTATGTACCGTGAATTACTTGCATCACAACATAGAAAACCAATCCCCAAACACCACACACTAGTGACCTCACGCGTCGTACCTCGTAAACGGACAAATACAAGAACCACAGCAGCGCGAACAGAACGCTGTCCCTCATCCGGCGTGACGTCAGACCAATCACGGCCAGGAGGCAGCCCAGTATGCAAATGAGGTCCATGCCTTCCTGGGCGTCCAATCCCAGGCCAGGCAGCAGCCACATGAGGGAGGGGCGACCCTGGAAGCGCTTCTCTGGCGGGCGACCGTCGGGTTTCAGGACGACCTTGGCTGGGAGGATGCCATTATCTCCGTACAGACCTGGATAATTACCAAAAGGAAAAAGCACCCAAAATCACGTGACCATTCTTTCCGGTCGAAACCGGAAGTCATTTCAGCCTAATAATTTGAAAGTGGAAAAAGATATGAACTTGCTTTCATCGATGTTAGTGTCTGGCTGGTTTGACCATTCAAAAAATATGATCAGTGACGCCATGAAGTTTTCGAGCACCCTCTAGCAGCAGATTCAAAAATGTCCAAAACACATCACAAATTCAAGACTCTCTTTTTAATTGATTTGGACGGACGGACCGTAGAACCCTGGCACTGTATGGGGTTTTTCATATGGAACCTGTAGATGCATCTATCGCCAAACAGGCCTGGGTGGTAGTAACAAAGATAAATTTAAAAAATCTATCAAAATCCAACAACTCTTTTTAATTGATTTTGATGGATATGGCACTCAAGGACACTTGAATCATGATTCATGGAAGCTTGACCGGTACTTGAGGAGGAGGCTGACGTTATCTCTGTACAGAGTTTGGGGCAGTAATTGCGAAAAGAAAAATCATTCTACCCAAATCGTACAATTTCTTTTTGATTGATTTTGATAGTTATGGGACATGGTATTTCTGCCTAGATCCATTGGCCTGCAATGTTCTGTGACTGCAGACGTTCATGTTGATTCTTCAACTAAAACCTTGTTTCCATATCGCCATTAAGCTTAATCCCGGTTAATACTACGTGAATGTGAATGCGAAGCAAATTTGACGTCATGGCACGTTCACTGCGAAATTTGCCTGAGTTATTATTATTATTATTATTATTAATCATTTCTGGTAATGAAACCAAGGATTCCTCAAAAGCGCCCTAGGCACTGTAGCTCGCAAGCCCGAAGAAACCTGTGTTCAACTTTTTTGAATTTGCAGCGCGAATACTTGCCATGACGTCACAAATTCTCGTTCGTGTTCGCTTTTGCGCCGAGTATGAACCGGGCATTTCTTCAATTCTTACCTGGTATCTGCACATACAGCGACGCGAAGGCAAAGAGGTAGATAGCCGACATGGATCGCAGAAATAGGTCCTTGGTTGCCTGCATTCTGGCCATCGTGGCTGGTAGATGCTAGAGGGTTTGCAGAGCTTGGCCGAAATAATATCTAAGAGCACAATGGGTCCTGCATCGCATGAAAGTAGAGGGAAAAGCAATCAGTTCTTTTGATCAGCTAGAAATTTAATCATGCAGTAAAGTAAGTCAGTCATGGGCCATATATTCACGGGCCAATATATGGCCCATATATTCACGGGCCAATATATGGCCCATCAGGCTGGCGTTTATCTCCGGTTTATCTGCTATCTCCCGAAACTAAGTCATTGAATCTGATGTGTGCTTGTACATGCAGTAGTGGCAGTAGTGTTCTCTAAAGTGGCTTGTCGTCAGTCGACGTACTTTGTGGCCCTACAAAGCAACGCATGCGCGTATTCACTGCAGATGCTTTTTGCCGTCACATTTTTTTGAACTCTCAATGACGCGCTTAAGTTGCTTGCGTGTGTTCTACTTGCGCATTGCATGTAGAGTACACTTTCAAAACTCAACCCATCTAATTTCATTATGTTCTACAAAAACGCACACGAGTTCAAAATGTCTGCGCCCAGAGCGGCTTCAAAGCATCTCTGCGCGCACAATGAGTTAGCGCTCTAGTAATTTAATATAGCTCTATACCTACACATCATCAAAATAGTGCCCCCAAGAAGTCCAGCCCTTCCCACACCCGGTGCGCGGTGTTAATGTTGAGTTTGCTGACAAATACTACCCCTCCCCCCCCCCCCAACAGTTATTTTCCGGCATTTGTCCGGTGCGCTATCCACAAATGGATGATAGAGCAAGGAACAATAGCCTAGGATGAGTAGTACTTAGTAAATAAATAGTAGTAACAATTTGTCAATAGAGCACATGAGCCGAATTCCCGACATAAGCGAAATTTGACATCAGTGACTGAGTGAGGTCATGTTGAGGACATGGTGGACATCATCATACGCATACAACATGTACAAACATGACAAACGTCTGCATATTACATCCCGGCTGAGGAGATTATGCAGTATTCTACCAGAACCAGAACGTTGTTCCTCAATAAACCTGAAGCCCCCGAACATTGGAAATTTTCCTAAAACACATGATGCAAAAAGGGACAAATGTGGTGTTTGTTTTATTACCAACCATGCATGCACACTTGTCTTGCAAACACCGCCACCGGTGCACCTGCGTAAACTATCTAGACTCGACTGCACACACGTACGTCCACGTGTTCGTCCGCAACAGGTTCACAATAGACTGGTTGCCGGCCCCTCCATCCACTGTTGGATCTTGAATTATGGAGGCGGAAGACAGACACTGAAGATTCTCCAAACCTCGGCTCGGTTGGCAGCTTTGGGTAGGGAATTGTAATCCCCTTAGCTTTTATAATGGGGGTAACATTTGAGAGGTTTCTACTGTGAAACTTCAGTAGAGATGTTCTTTTGGTTCTTGCATTTAAGGCTCTGAAAATCCTTATAATTTAAAGAGCCCGCGCGCGGCCAAAGCCCCTGCTGCGTTCGCGAGCTCATAAATAATAGTTATAACTCAAAATATTCTATATTAGAGAGTTCTGAGAGAGCCATAACATTGGGGAATTGAAGAGATATGGTAATGAACCACTTGTCCGGACTTGGGGCTTCCAATTCTGAGCATTTTTGGATGCTATTGGGCTCGAAAGTGGCGCTATTTTGCAATGTTGTGGCGGGATCGTTTTTCAAGATGGCAACTTTTCCGCTTTTGGGGAAAATAGGGGTCGTCTTCTTTGGGAGAGAATATCTCGAAATGTCAATGGTCAACCCACCCAAAAAATGAAAAGAAAATGAAAAAAACTACCCCCCCCCCCCCACGGCCCCTGCAAAAAAATGTGTTCTGCCAGCATTGTCCGGCCATGTTGTAAAAGTTGGTACTTCCATACTGTCTAGTTAAACTTGCGGTCGCTGGCGAAGTTAATTGAGCGTGATGGGGAGCAATAAACAACCGTCTGTAATTTCTACACAAACCCCCTGGTGTAGGGGGTTTTGCGTAGAAATTTTAAGATACCAAACTTCCCTTAATTATTGTTTAGGTCATCACACAGAAAAACCTTATCCGCGGAAATTAAGCCACAGTAGACAGAAAATCTTGCTGAGTAGGCCTATATTCAACACGCAGAAACAGCTAGCCATCGCATTGCTTGAACAATAACTTATTTAAAAATATATGTCGTACAGGTTTGAATTTTCCCTTAATCATTGTTGAGCACAGTAAAATAAGTTATTAATAAGACAAACCAATACATTATGTTTTGTCATTACGGAGACCTTAAACTCAAAGAAAGTCTCGGTGTTCAGAGAATCTTGCTGGGTATAGGCCTATTCCACACGCAGAAACAGCCATATCGCATTGCTTGAACGACAAGTCCTTCAATATCTAGTACTGGTTTGAAATTTAACTTAATTATTGTTCAGTATAGGTGAAATAAGCCAATCAAGTATTATGACAAACCAATGTTGTAGTCGCCAGAGAACTATTTTGTCATCACGGAGACCTTACCAAAAGGAAGTCTCTGTAGACCGAAAATCTTCCTGATATTGAACACGCAGAAAAAGCCCGAGAATTGCTTGAACAATAACGCATTAAATACCTGTCGTACAGGATTGAATTTTCCCTTAATTGTTGTTGAGCACAGTTAAAATAAGCCTATAAGGTATTAAGACAAACCAATGTTGTAGTCACCAGAAGACTTCTTTGTCATCACGGAGACCTTATCCAAAGGAAGTCAGTACACCGAAAATCTTCCCGAGTATTATTGAACACGCGGAAAAAGCCCACGCATTGCTTGAACAATAACTTATTAAATACTTGTTGTACTGGTTTGAAATTTCTTTAAATTATTGTTGAGCATAGGTAAATTAAGTCTATAAAGTATTAAGACAAACAAATGTTGCAGTCACCAGAAAAACTAGTTTGTCATCACAGGGACCTGACCGTGACCCAAAGGAAGTTTCAGTGGACAGAAAATCTTCTTGAGTATATTTAACACGCAGAAACAGCCATTACATTGCTTGAACAATAAGTCCTTAAATACATTTTGCACTGGTTTGGAATTTCCTTAAATTATTGTTGAGGGCAGGTGAAACAAGCGTATAAAGAATGAAGACAAACCAATGCTGTAGTCAGCAGAAAACTATTTTGAAATCACGGAGACCTTATAATACCCAAAGGAAGTCTCAGTAGACCGAAAATCTTCCTGAGTATTATTGAACGCGCAGAAAAAGCCCACGCATTGCTTGAACAATAACTTATTAAATACCTGTCGTACAGGTTTGAATTTCCCCGTAATTGTTGTTGAGCACAGTTACAATAAGCTTATAAGGTATTAATACAAACCAATGTTTTAGTCACCAGAAGACTACCTTGTCATCACGGAGACCTTACCCAAAGGAAGTCAGTAGACCGAAAATATTCCCGAGTATAATTGAACACGCAGAAAAAGCCCACGCATTGCTTGAACAATAACTTTTTAAATACTTGTCGTACTGGTTTGAAATTTCCCTAAATTATTATTGAGCACAGGTAAAATAGGCCTATAAAGTATTAAGACAAACCAATGTTGCAGTCATCAAAAAAACGTTTGTTGTCTTCACGGACACCTTACCCAAAGGAAGTCTCAGTGGACAGAAAATCTTCCTGAGTATAGTCAACACCCAGAAACAGCCATCGCATTGCTTGAACAATAAGTCCTTAAATACCTGTTGTACAGGTTTGAAATTTCTCTAAATTCTTGTTGAGGGCAAGCGAAAAAAGCCTATAAAGTATGAAGACAAACCAATGCTGTAGTCATCAGAAAACTATTTTGAAATCACGGAGACCTTACCCAAAGGAAGTCTCAGTAGACCGAAAATCTTCCCGAGTATATTGAACACGCAGAAAAAGCGAACGCATTGCTTGAACAATAACTTATAAAATACCTGTCGTACAGATTTGAATTTTCCCTAAATTGTTATTGAGCACAGTTTAAATCAGCCTATATAGTATTAAGACAAACCAATGTTGTAGTCACAAGAAAACTATTTCGTCATCACGGCTACCTTACCCAAAGAAATCTCACTTTACAGTTTAATATTGAACACGCAAAAACGGCCCACGCAATGCTTGAACAATAAGTCTTTTAATACCTGTTGTACTGGTTTAAAATTTCCCTTAATTATTGCTGAGGAATGGTTGAATAAGCCTTTAGAGTATTAATACAAATCAATGTTGTGGTCACAAATAAAACAAACGTTTTTGTCATCATGGAGACCTTACCCAAAGGAAGTCTCGGTGTACAGAAAATCTTGCTGAGTATATTCAACCGTGACGCAGAAACAACCATCGCAATAACTTATTAAATATCTGTCGTACTGGTTTCAAAATAGCCTTAATGATGGTTGAGCATGGATAAAATAAGCCTATGAAATATGAGACAAACCACTGTTGTAGTCACCAAAAAAGTGTTGTCATAACGGAGAAAAAAACTTACCGAAATGAAGTCTCAGTGTACAAAAAATCTTCCTGATGAGTATATTGGACACTCAGAAACTGCCTAGATAATGCTTGAACAATAACGTAGTAAATTTCTGTCGTACCGGTTTGAAATTTCTCTTGATTAGTGTTAAGCACAGGTAAAATAAGCCTATAAAGTATTAACACAAACCAATGTTGTATTCACCAGAGAACTATTTCCTCATCTTGGAGACCCTACCAAAAGGAAGTCGCAGTAGACAGAAAATCTTCCTGAGTATATTGCACACGCAGAAACAGCCATCGCTTTGCTTGAACAGTAACTTATTAAATACTTTTCATACTGGTTTGAAATTTCCTTCACTCACTGTTGAGCACAGGTAAAATAAGCCTAAAGTATTAAGACAAACCAATGTTTATGTTGTAGTCACCAAAAACACCCTTTTTTAATTGCCATTACGGAGAAAAACCTTACCCAAAGGAAGTCTCAGTAGACAGAAAATCTTCCTGAGTATATTGAAAACGCCGAAAAAGCACAGGTATTGCTTGAACAATAATGTATTGAATACCTGTAGTACTGGTTTCAATTTTCCTTAATTATTGTTGAGGACAGCTGGACAGGTACAATTAATAATTCTATAAGTATAGACAAACCAATCATGCATGCAGTCACCAAAACATTCTTTTGTCATCACGGTCGAGTTAATCGTAAGAGTGATCGGGAAGCTAAGACAACTATTTCATTCGACATTGTCCGGAATATTATTGTCAACAGAAAAAAAAAGATCACGGCATTTCCTGTTCTCACCCTCATTGTTGATTCTGAGGCTTCATGCAAAAATACCCAGCTGCTCATGAGGGCGTACACAAGGAGGGCGCTTCGCTTGCGCTTACCACAGACATAAAGGTTCTTTATGTCTATGGCGCTTACTGCTATGAACAGCGCCATCTAGTGTCAGACCATGTCCACACAAGACCAAATTGCGTTGTAGGCATCCTCCTGAAAAAAACCCCAACTTTGGATACGTTATCAAACGCTTTTTATCTTACATCGAATTAAGTATGCTTAACTGTGCATATTACTGTGACAACAAGTACATTTTGATCTTTGTTGGTATTACAATGACAATATTTTCAATGAAATAGGGAATGCGGACTGATATAACTATTGAATCGGGAAAATATTTTCGGGTTATGAAACAAGCGATTTGATTGATTACCAAAGAGAATTGTACAGTAGTCTGGCCAATCATATTACTTGTAGCATAATCCTTGAAATGACATCATCGAGCGCGCGACTTTCCAAAACAAGATGAATGCGTTGTGTTCTCTCGAAAGTCATGAAAGTGGTCTCGTCAACAATGCTTGCAAGAGTAGTTTTAAGGAATAAGAAAACTTGATTTCGGTGTCATCCTATCAGATGATTGCAGGTAACTGCAAATTTTCATTTGGCCGTTAAATCGGCTCTTTTTGTTGAGATAAAATGAAGTAATAATCATCATCAAAATAGCCGGGCTTGTTGTAGCACTAGCAATTTTGTGTAGGCCTATAGTATAAATGGGGTCTACTGGCGTCAACAAGCGTCAACCGTCGTCAACAAGCATCAACAAATTTTGTATAATATGCTTTTGAACATGAAAAGTAGCTTTATATGGTCAGTAGAAAAAGCAATAAAGAATATCTTCCTGCGATCGTGAAGTGTAGGGCCCCTGTCATCATGGTCATGCCTGTTTTGTTTTGATCAAATTGTTTTTTTAGAGTGAAAAATATTTTTTATTGCTGAAAAATCACCTTTACAATCAAAACTTAAAGCAGACTTTTCTCAATTCTAATGACACCCATTTTGCAATTTTGAACAGATTCTTTGGGTAGAAATTACTATGTTCCCGCGCGGTTTGTGCCTTGCGATTCAGCGTTCAGCGCCCCATGAGTGCTCACGGTACATTGCGAGGTGATCGCCATCTTTATTTTCGTGTCGCATGTTGTCGCCGCGCTGTCATCGTCATTTTACCCCCAAATTTCCCTCAAAAAATCAAAACCCTGCCCTTTATCTATGACATACCTGTTTATTGAGAATATCGCCAGACATGCCAGACCATGTCCGAATAAAGGCGATAAGTTGGGTCCAAGATACTCGGACTACTAGTTTGGTAGGTAAAGTGGATTATGTTCCCACATAGGAACCGGGCCCTACCATGCCTACACTTCACGATCGCCCATCTTCTGCATATTAATTATTAATTAAACTTAAAATTATTCGTTTGCACACGTTTGCATATCAACATTTCAACATGAAATTTCACGAAAATTAGACATACTGTAAAAAGGCAGCACTTTCTGATTAGCCTAGAAGGTGAGTATGCAAGTTCTAAAGCACAAATTAACAACAAACTAAGCCTAAATGTGAACATCAAAATTTGACAAAGTTTGACATGGTTTTGTACATGGTGGAAGTGTGGCCTTTATTTACGGAGGTAGGCTAGTCCAGTAAATTGGCCACATTTATGGGGCTAGAAACAGACGTCCAACTTTTCCTCGGATCTGCTGATTTCCTCGGGTTTTTTTTACTTCTCATGAATGCCATTACAAAGAAAAACACTGTCATGACTGTACAAAGTCTTGTGTGGTTTGTAATGTCCTCGTTTCTAAATTCCCAGTTGCATGCCTGATGAAAAAAAAAGATTGCCGTAACGATAGCCAATGATAGCCACAGCGTTACCTGGCGTTACCTATTATTTCTAATAATAAATGAGCACGCCCCAACACTTGATATTTTAAGTGTTTTCATTGTTACTATTTACAGTGAGTCTAGTACCCTAGCACCTTCACTACCGATTTGGAGATGACGCAAGGAGACACAGAGGCCCGCTTCCTGCACCTCTTGCAGCCCATCCGGGACCTGACTAAGAACTGGGAGGTCGACATTGCTTCGCAGCTAGAGGACTATCTGTTAGAGGTAAGTGTGAGCAAGTTTAACCCTAACCGCCCTGAATCCTTCAAATTCTCTTTCCCAAAGTGGAGGAATTTGGAGGATTGAGGTTACATGGCAAAAGTGCGTTACTGATTTCGTAGGATGCACTTTGTCAATGTCTTGGGCCGGACCTTGTGTTGTTTTTGCTCAGCCATGCATAAATATAGGCCTGGATTATGCTTGAAATCCTCCGTACTGCTCCAGGATGTCACTGGCCAAGCCACAACATATTGACAGTCACTGCCGCAGGATTTTTGCAGGATTCAGGCAGTGGTCACCCCTCCACGGACCATATTCAAGAAACAGTGGAGGAATTTGCAGGATTGAGGCTATATGCTATTTTTCCAGGAGGCCAATTGGAGGATTTTGCAGGATTGAGGTTACAGGTACATCCTAGCAAAAAGGCCTAGGGAGTTGAGGACTAACAAGCCAGTTTGGTATTCCAAAATAGTCTGGTGCACAGCAAGATACGACGATTTTTTTCGGGATAAACGAGGCAGATATCTGCACACAAGGCTATGGGGGACGTGGTAACCGAATCTGAATTTTGTAACTTTTCGTGCAATCGCAGAGATGGAAACTTTTGTTCGCACAAAAGTTTGGACACCTAAGATACCTAAAAACACTTCGCTGTCCAAACACTTTTTTTTTTTGGCAAAATTTTTACTTCAGAGCACAACGATCTCTTCAATTTTGCTGGTACCCCGCTATGCTTTTGCACGCATATGACGAAATGTTTATCCAAAAAGTAAAATCGTCAAATCTTGATGTGTACATTCGCAGTTGGAATACCCAACTCGCTTATTGTCAACGAGTTGTTGATTTGTAATGTAACTTATTCCTGTATAGTGACAGCATTGGGCACGATCAGTGGATTCGTGCTATCACTCAATCACGAAGAAATACATCTGTGTGAGTGCTCGATTCTGTAGGAAATCTCAAACTTTACTTTCCATTTTTCAAGACAATCTTCCAAAGCCAGGAGTTTGAGGGAAGAGGTGATCAACTGATGGCAGCGCGATCGACCAACAGTGGGGCGATCAACGGAAAGATTTCCATATACGAAGTTCACTAATTTTCCTCTGTATTGACTAACAAGCCCCCAGATAGCATTTTTCATGTCATCAAAGTCAATTTGAGTAGTGAGAAAATACAAGCATTTTCTTAGAAAACACTTAGAATTTTTCAGTCCAATCTCATAGGGTTTGTACACAGGGTGTTGAGTGAACTTCGTATATGGAAATCTTTCCCGATCAACCAGTGGCGCAACACAAGAACGCAAATCCACCAATCGTGCCCAACTACGGCAATATGCCATTATCTCTAATACTTGCACCCAAGGCCCCTTGCATTATTTTTTCCAACGGCGGTGTGAAACACGCCGTGGGCTTGAGCTGCTTATGTTGGTTGGTTGGTTGGTGGACACTTTACTCGGCCATATATTGCATTCATACAACACAAGTATTACAGCTTTGCATTCGAAGACCAGTTTTGTAAAACACTGTTGCGCATGCGTCTAATTTGCATATGTTTTACATATTAGATCACGCCCCATTCCTTTCCGTTTTCTGTACTCTTGAGGTACCGGTACGGCCCGGGTGCACGGACGGTACCGTATAGCTGTCTTCACACGTTACCCGGACGCCGTGGGGTGTACCACTTGGTTCTCGTTCAAAATGTTTTGAAAGTGTTGATTGTTTTGGACCTCAGATTGGAGAGATTCGGATTACGTTTGATGGCGGCTCGACCTCCATGAACTTTGCTGAGGCGGCCTTGGTGATCCAGGGCTCAGCCTGCATCTACAGCAAGAAGGTGGAGTACCTCTACGCGTTGGTCTACCAGACCTTGGATCTCCTTGCCAGTAAGAAGTAAGTGTATGTAGACTCGGGGATCTGGTACACAGTACCCTGTGGAGACATGTGCAATAAAGAACAAAAAATTTGTATACGTCTCCACAGGGCAATTTCTATAGGTGAATACGTCTCCACAAGGTTATCACAAAATATGGATTTAACTCAAAAACTAGGAATTTCCAAGGTGGGTTGATCCGTCGCAAATTGAAGTATTTTATGTTAGGATAATATTAAGCCCAGGAAATTAATTCTGGTTAAAATAGGAGCATTTTGAAACAACACTTTCAAACTCGAAAACTTTAGTACTCGAGAACAAAGAAATGACTCCACAAGGATACACATTCCAGAATGATTGTGTTAAGTGAGTTCTGCTATAAGCCATTTGCGAGTGACCTTTTACCCTTTGGGATTTAAATTTGAAAAACATCTGGCACACTGACTTGCTCAGAATGCTTGGCACATTTTCAGTTTGAATTCTTCAGACCAAAGACACTGTTGCTAATCACATGATTCGGGGCAAGCTCTTGCATAGTTACGTAAGAGACACTCAGCACCAATACTTTGTTCACAATGGGTGAGAACTGCACAAAGACACAAGACCATGCCGGAGCTGGGGGTTGCTAGCATAAGGCTTGCCCCGAATCACGTGATATAGTAACAGTCTCTTCGGTTGGGAGAATGCAAAGTTAAAACGTGCAAAGCATTGAATTAACCCTAACCCCCTAGGCCCTTGGTGCTTACAACCATCCTCAATCCACCAAAATCCTCCAAAATTTTCCAAAATTTTGCAACTCCGCCTAAATTTTTCAAAATTGTCAGACAGTCCTGCCTCAAAATGCATTCATCCTCAAATCCTCCAAAATCCTCCTCATCCCAAAACTTTGCACTCGTGTTTAAATGAAGGATAACCAACGCCAAATCCTTCAAAATCATCAGACAGTCCTGCCTCAAAATGCATTCATCCTCAATCCTCCAAAATCCTCTTGTGCTTCAATCACCATTCATCCTCAATCCTCCAAAATCCTCATGTGCTTCAGTCACCATTCATCCTCAATCCTCCAGAATCCTCATTTGATTCAATCACCATTCATCCTCAATCCTCTAGAATCCTCCAAAACCGCCAGGAGGATTTTGGAGGAGTGAGGTGGGTTAGGGTTAAGTCAGCATTCCAGTTATTATTCAAATTTAACTTGCAAATGGCTTATTGCCTGATTTCATACTGTACGTCATGACAAACAAGTTCCCTCGGCACAAGTTACTTTATTCTGAATCTGCACAAAACCATAGAGTCTTTGCGTGAGCGTCAGGCGCCGACACTAATACTTTCAAATGTCTCTCCCAGTGGTCTCCCCCCAAATGTCCCTTTCTTAATACCCAAATAAATTACTTCACCGTAACCGCCCTGAATCCTTCAAAATCCTCTTTGCTAAAGTGGATGAATTTGGAGGATTGAGGTTACACGGCAAAAGTGTGTTACTGATTCCGTAGGATGCACTTTGTCAAGGTCTTGGGCCGGACCTTGTATTGTTTTTGCTCAGCCATGCATTGAATTCCTCCGTACTGCTCCAGGATGTCACTGGCCAAACCTCCACATATTGACAGTCACTACCGCAGGATTTTGCAGGATTCAGGCAGTGGTCACCCCTCCATGGACCATATTCAAGAAATAATGGAGGAATTTGCAGGATTGAGGCTATATGCTATTTTTTCATGAGGCAAATTGGAGGATTTTGCAGGATTGAGGCTACATCCTAGAAAAAAGGCCTAGGGAGTTTAAGGGGGTACTTGTGCACGAAGTACCCCTTTCGCGATCCTTTCAGCATCTTTTGATTTTCCTTCTTTTAATCTTTTTTTTTTTTTTTTTTTGCAGGAAGCTGCAACAGCAGTCGTCTGTGGACGAGGAGGGGAATGACAAAGATGCAACATTTGCATACCAGAAAAATGCAGAAGAGGTATGAGTGGAAAAAATTGCTCATTTTAAGATTTACGATAATTTTTTCCCCCTCTTTCAAACATTTTGAAATCAAGTTAGTACTGTATGGAAATAGTATGATGATGAAATATTGATATATTTTTTTGGGGGGGAGGGGGGGGGTGGGAGGTGTTTAAATATGTTATTTGTTTTTTAATAGATGAATGTGATAATGTGACTGGAAATGCGGCCATGTGACTTAATGCCGACAGCAAGTTAAAGACAATGAACCAGAAATGAAGATTTCCTGATGCCTTTCAATAAATGTAGTTTGGTAGGGATGACCAAACTGCCAATTGAAAAGACAATAGAAAACTTACGTAGATCAGATGTTGCTTCAAATATTTACTAAAACGAACATCAAATTATATGTCTTTTTAACATCCTTTTTTTTTTGATGTATTTTTAATTTTTTTTTGCTTCTCTATACATCAGTTCCTGTCACTGGATGATATCCAGATTGCGAAGAACATTGACTTGAAAGAAGTGGACTTGAACGATAACGTGAGTATATGTGATTTTCCCGTAACCTGGACTAAATATAAGTGAACAGCTGCAGTTTAGATTTTTTCCATGAACCCTATCCTTCCCAAATCGTCTTACCACTCGACCACCCAGCTTGCGGGATCAGTTGGCTGGATCCCTCAAGTTTGGTGGTCGAGTGGTAAGACATCTGTACTAGAAAGTAGGAGGTCGTTGGTTCGAGTCCCGCCCGAGTGATTTTTATGCAACTTTCACTCGGGAGGTAACACACAGTGTTTTATACGTCGGTGGAGGGCAAAACCTAAAATTAAATTTACCATTTATGAAGTTTAATTTGGTGACATACTTGAAACTAACAATCTCGATTTGCTCTTGTAGCTGGTGAAGATTGTTCCGAGAACACCGATGTCTCTACTGAAGGTGAACGGGCTGGAGGAAGACGTGCCACTCAAAGAGTAAGATAGAATTATTGGTCAGGTCCTCACAAGTCAGTCACAAGCCCAAACAGGCCCTCATTAAGCCGATCATAAGTCCTCACAAATAAGTCAATCAGAAGTCAATCAGAAGTCCTCACATGTCCTCAAAAGTCCTCACAAGTTCTCAAAAGTCATCAAGACAATTGTAAGTCATTCTGAAGTCATCAGAAGTCCTCAAATTAATCACAAGTCATCACAAGTCAATTCTGATTCCTCATTTGCCAATCAGAAGTCCTCACATGTCATTGAACTGTTAAGTCCCCCCCCCACCTCCCCGTCCCTCCCACGCACGCTTGACCACAGGACTGTGTAATACAACAGAAGCACAGAATGCCGACTTCTGATTGACTTGTGATTAAATTAATTATTATTAATCACAAGTCAATCGTAAGTCCTCACAAGCCATCAAAAGTCCTCAGGTCAATTGCAAGTCCTGTAGTCATTCTGAGGTCTTCACAAGTCATCAAAAGTCCTCAAATTAATCTAAGTCCTCACAATTAAGTCAATTCTGATTCCTCATTTGCCAATCAGAAGTCCTCACAAGTTGATCATAAGTCCTCACAAGTCAAACAGAATTATAGTCCTCTAAAGTCAACACAAGTCCATCACAATTCCTCGTTATTTTGTTTGGCACAAGTCCTCACAAGTTGATCACAAAATACCCACTAGTCAATCTAACGTCTGCACTTGTCAACCAAACGTCATCTAGTCTTGAGTCAACTCAAAAGCTATTCAAATAAATATATTGGACACATAAAAAGTTGTTTTGGGAGACTTTCCTGCCTGTTATTCCCTGTACCACTCAAACACCATGTCAGTGTTCAGAGCAAAATGTAAAACTCTTTAAAACCCTGCAAGTCAGTTTCAGGTGAAGGGATATGAAGTGTTAAAATAACTGTGTCACACAGAGAGTCACTGCACACACAAAAACAGCACTGTGGAGAGCAGTGAAGCGTGACTGAATCTGCCTGCTTGCCCTGAGCTTAACCACACACAAGCACTGTGCAGGGTTTTGAAGTGTTATCCATACTCCACAGAAGATTACCTCAAAAGAATTTTAAAGTGTGGGTGCTAACTCTATTGGCAAAAGTAGTTTTGCAAAACTTGAAGTGTTTTGAAGTGATGCAGAAGACTAGGAGGGTTAAATAAGTTAAAAATTTTCTATTACAGTTCCAAGGGTGAGGTCTTGGGAAAGATGGCCGACTTTCGTCTGATGACGTCGGTCGTCCAGGCCTCTGGCACCCTGCTTCTAGACATGTCTCATATGTCGCTCCTGGAAGCGTCGATGATGAGGCATCCGATGTCTACGCCACTGCCTGGACCACTGCAAGGTAGAGTGGAAAGTAAAGAGTGATGCTGACAAGTAGAAAAAAAACATTCTTAGGAAACGTCTCAAAAGTCGGAGAGCTTGGAACGTTCCACCGGGAAAGTCGCCTTTTATAATTGGGAACATGCGTTGTTCCCACTGACAGGGGTGTGAAATATCAGCTTTAAAGCTGATTTTAGTTTTTTGTTTTGGATTTCAGCTTTTTTCCCTCACTTGCTGTGTACAAAAGTATAGGAGATTTCCAAAGTTCAGTTTTTTTACACCTTTTTCAGCTATGTTCAGCTATTTTTATCAGTGGTCACTCACACCCCTGCACTGAGAACGCCAGTTGATCCCGCGTGGGAACGCCAGGTGATCCCGCATAGGAATGTTGGTCTGTGCGCGTGCACGCTTACTTGCAAACGGCCTGTTCCAGTTGGGATACCACAGGAACACATACAGTGTTCCATACCCGTTCCGACTTTTGAGACGCTCCCTTAACATAAAAACTGTAAGGTTTAAACCTAAGGTACTAAGCAGGCAACAGGTTTTAAGTAGCGGTTATTATTTTTATTTTTTTTATTTTTTCATTATTATTATTTATTTTTTTACACCCATCATGGGTTTCTGTGTACTAAAAGACCTATGACACGTAAAAGAAAACAAGTACAATTTGTCTCTGTTGGATTTGGTTAAAGGAAATAATGCGAATGACGGGAATGGATTTCCAGATAATGCTGTGGAACCCATGGGGGACAATGTTGACGAGATGCCCCTTCACCAAGACGCTAATATGAGCTGTAAGTTGGTGGATTTGTTTATTTTGTATTATTTTACGTTTTTCACCCCTTACATTAAAGGGAAAATACATGTACAACATTTGCTTTTGCTGTAATTTTCATAGATGGATGGATTTCAGGGAATAATAGTATTTTATAGCAAATATTGTAACACTGACTTGTTTCAAGTTTTGGGTTCGTAGATGCTGGAAAAACCAAGACAAACAATCTTGTTCCTGTAGTCTGGTTCCCTGACCCCACTTATGATGAAACAGAGCATTTTATAGACGTCAGGGAATTGTAAGGTCAGGGAACCATTCTAGCAGGCTTGTACCCATTCATAGGTGTGCAATCGATTGCAAACAAAATGATTAACTAAATATGGTAAATTGGGGGCAGTATTTGAAAAAAAGTCAGTTTTTTTCCAATGCTGGTCAGTCAACAAGCATTGGGAATTGACACAAAAATACCACTTTTCATGAAAACGACAGCACACCAGGTACCATGGTTTTACAAGATGCTTTAGACTGTCATTCACTAACAGTCCAGTAAAGTATTTCATAATAATTAGGTAGTTTTGTTTTGTGATGTTTGCAATCACGGCAGTTGTTATTGGATGTTGTGTAGCGCATATATAGAGACAGCTGCTGAAAGTGACCAATCAAGGCGGCCGTTAAATGTCGCTGAAGAATCTTGCAAATAAAATTGTCCAATCATGACAGCTGTCAAATAACATAAGGGCAGAATTGCGTGAAGAGTCATAAAAGTGGCCAATCAAATCAACTGTTATATGAATCTAGCGGAGGTACATGATCCAACTGTCCAATCGTGGCGCCTGTTTGATATGTGATTCATGGATTTTGCATAGATGGCTTCTGACTAGCGCCTCTTGAACAAAGACATTGACAGAATGGGGAACCACCAACATAGGGCTGGATAGCTCAGTTAACAGGTTAATAGTAGAGTTGGCAGAACGGCCAATCAGTGTCTTTGTTTAACCTGAAAATTAAGATAAAGATATGAAATCAAAAGTGATGCCGCTGTTGCGGTACAATTGCAGTGTGCAGGAATGAAATGTTATTTATAATGTTATATGTCGTATTTTGTCCATTTCCATTTTCCCTCGCATTTTAGTGGATGATGTTGACATGGCTGACCCTCCTGATGAGTCGTTTACTGAGCCACCTCACCCAGAACCAAACCAGGTCAGTTGCAGTTGGTGTGAAATAAAATCCCAAGTACTTATCCATTCTGCAGCCTTTCATTGCAGTGGTTTCATGCACTCGAAGAGCCAGCCTATAGTAGAATTTTTAGCAGAATTGGAAGCTTTAATTGTGGTGGCATCACGCTCAAACGCATGCTGCACGCGTTCTTAAAGATGAGGCGCACGCGCATTTTGGTATTCCTATTGGTTGAAGGAGCCCGGAGTGCATGTGTACTACCTGAGCGAAACTCACACGAGCCTGGTGCCACCACAGAAAATGGCTGCCGCCGGATTTGTCTATAGTGCTCCTGACTGAGTCACTGACTGACTGAGTCACTGAGTCACTGAGTGACTGACTGACCGATTGACTGACTCCCCGACTGAGTCACTGACTGACTCCCCGACTCCCCGACTGGGTCACTGCCTGACTGACTGACTGACTGACTGACTTTGTAGCTAAGTATGGGTCCAGCTCGAATATGCTGATAGTCTTGTTTGATCAGAATTTGAAGTCAGACTTTTTGAATCTGGTTTTCGAGTGGAGTATTTGTGTGGCGTTCTGGCAACATGAGACAGAACTGGGCAGAGGTTGAAATGAGGGTTTGTAGGTATTAGGAAAACTAATACTGTTTGTCGCATTTCAAGCGGACATTCTGTTGACAAGTTGTTGCAGTTTTAGGTTCGTATTTATCGGCATGTTAAAAAAGTAAAATTCCGAAGAAAAAAAAGTTTTGTATTTGTGAAAATGAGAGATGACAGTTGTTTGTATTAAAAAAAAAAGAAAAAAGTTTATTCCACAATTTGTATGTTATTTCTTTAAAATATGTGTAGTACACATATCAAATATTAGATCAATGAATCGGAAACTCGCGGGGGGGGGGGGGGGGGGTGGTATCAGCCCATTTGCTGTTCTACATTTTTCTCCACTACGGTGTATTCCCAGTTCTGTCTCATTTCACCAGACTGTCTCACATTCAACTTTGTCAATCTCGGTCATTTATGTGACAGCATTTGACTCCTAGTCAGCGTATAAACACTGGGCTCGGTATTGTCATTCAATGGATGTTTGAAGCTTTAGTTTGGTTTCTATTTTATTTCATTACAGATGGAAGGCAGGAGGGAGTTGAGGCCTCTACGCATCCAGCCCAAGCTCAAAGCGCCGGCCGTCGACCCATGGACCACGCTGGATCCTCACGAGGCAAAAGCTCTCCCCGAAAAACCCTTCAAAAAAGGTCAGAAAGTACTTCAAACGCAAGAGCTGACGAGGATCTATGCTCAAACGTCCTTGGGTGGGACTCGAACCCATAACCGACTGGGGAAGACCTGTTTTGATTCGGAGTATAATGCTCATAAAAAATTGTACAATGAAGCAATGAAATGCACGTCTCCTTGACGCCCCAAAAACCTCCAATATTTTAAGGTCAAACAAAGAAATTGACTGGAGCAGGGTTTGAACCTGCGACCTCCGGATTGCCGTTCTGGTGCTCTACCAACTGAGCTATCCAGCCCTATGGTGGCGGCTCCCCAATTTGTGAGTGTCTGTTCAACTTCAAGAAGCCATAAACCAGTAAATGCCATGTAGCCAGGGATCACGCCCAAAGTCACGATGCTAGCAACATTAGCAATGCCGCAAACCTGGGAAATAGCAAACGGGGATCACTCAGAGAGGATACGGCTCTTTATTATAAATTGAATTCCCCCCCCCCCCCAAAAAAAAACCCCCAAAAATCCATATTAATTCTATCCTATGTAGTAGATTTCCCGAGGTGTAAGGTTGTACTTAGACTAACTTTGTACGTAGATTTAACACTCGCTGACAAAAATAAAGTTTCATAAAATACATGCGATGTGGAGACAAAAAAATCACTCTGCGTTCCTCTCGTGTTTTGTTTGCACGGACAGGCAAACCGTTCAAGATACCGGCGTCTCTGCTAGCGGCCAACAGCAAGAAGAGAAAAAGGAAAGGCTTGCCAGAGAAGCCGCAGACTCAACCCCTGACTCCTATATGTCAGTTCATCAACAAAGCCTGTGAGTATTGCACACTGTGGTTGGATGTGTGTCGGTTGCGAAAGGCTCGGGACCAGCCTATGTGATGTGATCAAACTAAATGAGTTGTTTGTCGGCCGTGATTGAGTTTATTATAAATTTTTTTTTACATTTTGAAATGAGCTATCTTTCAGGTTATATTTGGTGAAAACTTCATGTGAATACGACCTTCCGTTCAGAAGTTATGGGACTTAGAACACAGGCAGATCAGAAAGAAGAAAACAGAAATCAAACAGAGAAATCAATGATTCAAAATTGAAGTGTTTATTAAGCAACAATAAACTGTTTTTTTTTCAGGTTATTGAATATTAACTCCTTAGCAAAATGTCACATTTTAACTACTTTATCGTGAGTTTTTCTCAGAAAAAAAAAATAGTTGACATGAAAGAGGACATATGCAGCATTCCAATTTTACATTAAAGTAGTTTTTGAAATTTCCACCCAAGACTGACCTATTTTGGGCCGTATCTTAAAATCATGATTGCCGACAAACGACGCATTTAGCTTGAGCGCATCACATATATTGAGGCTTGTTAAAAACTTAAGGTTTTTCCCTAGGGTTGGTTTCTTAGTTTGGGACTTGGTGTTTTAGTTTTCGGCCTCAAATCTGTCTAGTCTCAGAATAGAGACTGGACATCAATATGTTCAAATTCCAGTAGCATTCACTCAGGAATTGGCTATTATGTAATTCCTACCGATCTTGAAAAATGGCACAGTTGGTCATTAAAATAATTTCATGTGGAACAGAACCCGTAGAGTAGGCATGGTTGTACCTTCAAACATCAAGACACGGCCTGAGTCAGTTTCTTTGTTTATTTGGGAACAATGTGTAATCAATTTAGAAAAAAAAGGCAACTTTCACAGCATTTTGAAATAATAGCAGTGTTCTCTTTCAATACGAACTTCATGTAGACTAAATTTAGAAATTTAGAAACAAAATTTAGAAAGAAAAAAAAATTTAAAAACCGATACCGAGGTGTAAGGGCTTGCAAAATTTCACATAAATTGTAAATTAAAGGATGCATGTGCCCCAGCTTGGGACAATTCAGTGCAATTTTTAAGGTCATTGGATTTATCTTTGAAGGGTTCCGTTAATGTAATGCGTTTCAAAGGGACTTTAAAGGTTTTGTTAAAGGTTCGAGTCAGACTGAAAAACCATTTTTTTTCCAAAATGGAAAGATTGTGAAAATTACAAGGTAGTCCAACTGCTAAAATTGAGGGGTTTTCATTAATTAGCAAGCCATTTTATCTTCTCCTTTTTCTTTTCATTTGATCTGTTTGCAGATTATTCCCACGCGTCCAAGTTCCCAAACAGCGCCCTCAAGAGGCCGCTGTTTCCCGAGTTTGACAACTTGTATTACGCCGAGTTCAAGCGGCAGCAGGCAGCGCGAAAGAAAGAGAAGGAAATTCTGGTAAGAAACAGAAAAATGTGAACAGGGCCTTTGAAAGATCTGGTTTAAATGTCCAAAGTTCTTCAAGCCACAGTGAGTTAAAACCATGCCGTTGAAATCCTGGTGTAACTTTTGTGGTCATTTTGTCCTTAAAGGGAAAATACAACATTTGCAAACATCAAAAAATAAAACTACCAAATCATTTTGAAATACCTTGCTGGACTGTTAGTGAATGACAGTGTAAAGCATTCTGTAAAATCATGGCACCTGGTATACTGTCATTTTCAAGAAAAGTGGTATTTTTGTATCAATTTCCAACGCTGATCGGCCGATCAGTGTTGGAAAAAACTGGCTTTTTTTTTCAAATATTGGCCCCCATTGGCCATCGCACTTGTTTGCAATCGATTACACACCTATGAACGGGTACAAGCCAGCTAGACTGGTTCCCTGACCTTACAATTCCCCAATATGTGTTAACTGCTCTGTTTCTTCTTAAATGGAGTCAGGGAACCAGACTACAGGAAAATGATTGTTTTTCTTGGTTTTTATAGCATTTTCGAACCCAAAACCTCAAAAAAGTCAGTGTAACTATATTTGCTATATATTTCCAACCCCCCAATTCCATCCATTTCTGAAAATAACAGCAAAAGCAAATGATGTATATTCCCTTTAAAGTTGCATTCCCCATGCTGTGTTCGAGTTTCGTCCCGAAAAATATATTCCTTTCCTAAAATTGCTATTTTTCTAGCGATTGTTCACGCTTGAATGAGACGTCAAACGTACAAAAAAAAAAATTGGCCCATGTTTATTGAATTAGTAGTTTACAATTTTGAATTATTGGATGCCAGACAACAATTCCGTTCTAGCGGGTAGGCTGGTTCCCGCCCCACAACCAGCATCAATAATGTATGGACCAGGAGCTCGCAGAGTGAATCTGTTTGTGCCCAAAACAAAAACCTGTTTCAGAGGTTTGCGGACGTCCAAAATAGGGAAAGAAGGGGTGGGGGTTGGAATAAAACATACAAGGGCAAGTTCGCGCAAGGACTATAGTTAACCGTTGGTCGACTAACGCTTGCCCGAACTCTGTCTAGTCGACGATGGTTAACTACGCTAGTCGACTATTTGGAACCAACCTACTGGGGCTGGTTGCATCGCTGGTAACCATAGCCGCGCGCATTCATAACGCTAGCAGAGAGCCAGGATCCAGAAGTTTTGCGATGACATTTTGACCAGCGTTTGACTAGAGACGTTCGCACGTTGCTATCAGTGCGCAGGCGTAGGGTACGTCACAAATCAACCACTAGTCGACTAATGGTCCTTGCCCGAACTTGGCCCAAGTTGAAGATTTGTTTATAGAACAATAGTGAATCTGTTGAGCACGGGAATGCAATTGTAAAGGGGCATTGAAAACAGTGTAGTGTCAGCCCGCCCTCCAAAAACCCTTTGTAGAGAACACTACAGGAATTCAACTTTTCCTCGGATCCGCTGATTTCCTCGTTTTTTACATCCAGTGAATGCCATTACAAATTGAAAAATGCTGTACAAAGTCTTGTGCGGTCTTTGAGTTTCTTCTTTTTTTTTCTAATTCCCAGTTGCATGCCTGACACTAGATACAGTTTGATGAAATGTGGTGGCGTGTGTTCAACTATTTAATAACTGGACTTATAGAGTGCCAAATTGCCACAGATACAAGGCGCATTAGCCTGCTCATTGGGTCAATGAAACATTCCAAATACCATCTCAGCTCCCTGGGGAGTACACAGCTCCATGCTGCCATTTCGGCGCAAAGCAGCTACAATCAACCACAATAACCATCTCTGCCCTCACAGGTACCCGTCTACTCCTGGGTGGAGAGAAGCAATGAGTGACGAAGTGCCTTGCCCAAGGGCACACGCTCATGTAGCCGCAGGCTGACTCGAACCCACAACTCGCGGAATTACCCGCAGACCACAAATTCAATGCTCCAGACCAGGAGGCCACAGCACTCCAACTATGTTTGTATTTTTTTTTGATTTTTCAACTTTGTTCCGACTTTTAGGCCAAGCAAGGCAGGTTTCAGGAGCTTGCAGAACAGGAGGCGGAGGAAGAGAATGATTTCAACCCCGCCCCCGAGGAGGGACCCTTAGGAGGGGCGGAGTTAGCGGGGATGGAGGACTACGGAGGGGCGGGACTTGATGATGTCGACGACGATGAGGGGGGTGGAGGATTTGACGGAATGGCTGGTGACTTCGGCGCAGTGGATAGATCAGGTTTGTCTATGGTGTTTTCTGAAACCACGGTTTTATTTCCAGAAGCAGATTTGTCTTCAGTCCCGAGTTTCGTAAGAATCTTGCCTTTTTCAAACCCAGTGAAAGCACACCGACTGTTAGCCTTGCGTGACAACATTACTTTTTGCAGCAGAAAATGGACTTATATTATACTGGAGTCTGTTAAATCAGGGGAACCACAATCATGAAGCCGAGGCCCAAGCTGGAACGAAGTTGAGATTTCGTAAACTTCCCTTTGTTTGATGCAGATTTTAGAGTTTAATTTAGGTTTTCCCGGCCAATTTCCAGAAATGTTTATTCACTTCCAAAAAATCGGTCATTCGTTTTCGTCTGAATTTGAATGCACGTCTTTAATCCCATTTCAATTCAACGAAAGTTCAATCGTTTTCAATGCCCGTGCATTCGGTTTTGAGGAACAGACGGCCAATTACATTACCTGTGCATTCATCTACGCAAGCATACCTTTTCTAAATTGATTTCAGGTACAGCTTATTTGATTGACGGTTTATGAAAAAGGAACCCCTAATTGTATCTGGTGCCGATGGCATTAAACTAAAAATGAAATAGAATGGCGAATGTTTGAAATGGCCGTCTAAAAGAGAACAAGAAGTTTTGTAAACGAATCTGAATGGACATAAACGAAAGGTGCTGCTCAATCACTTAATTGATTGAACTGAAATGGAATCGAATGCTCTGCAGCGAAAATGAAACTCCTGTTCAGAGTGATTCTGAAATTCAGTCGAAAATGGATGACCGATTTTCAGAAGTGAATGAACATTTCAGGAAATTGGCCGGGAAAACCTATATTAAAAGGGCAAGGCAATCAAATGAAAAAGATACAATACCTTATAAGTGTAGAATGCCATGGTCCAGGGGTTACGGTGTATGAGTCCTGTACGATGCATGCGTGGGTTCGAACCCTGATAGGAACTTGCTGTTTGTGCCCTTGAGCAAGACACTACAATTGCCTCTCTCCACCCAGGAGTATGAATGGGTACCTGTGAGGGTAGAGGACTGAATGTGCGCTGAAATCGGCTGCCGCGTGGTCTCGTGGTCTGATGAACGGGGGAAAAATTGTAAAGCGCTTTGAGATTGTTGATACGATGGAAAGCGCTCAGTACAAAGCATTACAATTTAGATTGTTTTTATTTGTTTAATTTGAAATAAATGATGGGGTTTGGTGTGTTTTGAGTTTTAATGAATGTTTTAAATGTATTTTTTTTGTGTCAGGGGGCGAATTCCCAAGCACACAAGAGATAGTCACCAGCTATGAAGAGCTTGTACGGAAACATGTGGTAGGTTGAGGAGATTTTTGAAAAGTATTAAGATTTCGTTTCCTGGGCTTTTAGCTGTAAGCTTCTTCCTTCCAGAGCTCTCTTGAGCTGCCTTTAGCCCAGTCCTATAGCACAAGCTGCTGAAAAAAAAAGAGTTTCAGTCAAGTCCATCACAAGTCCATCACAAGTCCATCACAAGTCTATCACAAGTCCATCACAAGTCCATCACAAATCCATCTCAAGTCCATCACAAGTCCATCTCAAGTCCATCACAAGTCCATCTCAAGTCCATCTCAAGTCCATCACAAGTCCATCACAAGTCCATCACAAGTCCATCACAAGTCTATCACAAGTCCATCACAAGTCCATCTCAAGTCCAGCACAAGTCCATCTCAAGTCCATCACAAGTCCATCACAAGTCCATCACAAGTCCATCACAAGTCCATCACAAGTCTATCACAAGTCCATCACAAGTCCATCACAAGTCTATCACAAGTCTATCACAAGTCCATCACAAGTCCATCACAAATCCATCTCAAGTCCATCACAAGTCCATCTCAAGTCCATCACAAGTCCATCTCAAGTCCATCTCAAGTCCATCACAAGTCCATCACAAGTCCATCACAAGTCCATCACAAGTCTATCACAAGTCCATCACAAGTCCATCTCAAGTCCAGCACAAGTCCATCTCAAGTCCATCTCAAGTCCATCACAAGTCCATCACAAGTCCATCACAAGTCCATCACAAGTCTATCACAAGTCCATCACAAGTCCATCACAAGTCTATCACAAGTCTATCACAAGTCCATCACAAGTTCATCTCAAGTCTATCACAAGTCCATCACAAGTGCATCTCAAGTGAGATCACAAGAAATGCCATGGTCACTGTTCATCAGCATAACTTGTCTCTTAATTGTCTTCAGACTGGATAACTTGTGATTTGACTTGTGATTGTCAGCGATGAACTTGTGATTTACCTGTCCTTTAAATTGTGATAGACTTTTGATGGGCTTGAGATTGACTTGTGATGGTCTGTGATTGACTTGTGATGGATTTTTGATTGACTTGTGTCTGATTTATGATGGTCTTGATTGACTTGTGATTGTCAGCGGTGAACTTGTGATTTACTTGTGATTTAAATTGTGATGGACTTTTGAGGGGCTTGAGATTGACTTGTGATGGTCTGTGATTGACTTGTGATTGTCAGCGGTGAACCTGTGATTTACTTGTGATTTAAATTGTGATGGACTTTTGAGGGGCTTGAGATTGACTTGTGATGGTCTGTGATTGACTTGTGATTGTCAGCGGTGAACCTGTGATTTACTTGTGATTTAAATTGTGATGGACTTTTGAGGGGCTTGAGATTGACTTGTGATGGTCTGTGATTGACTTGTGATTGTCAGCGGTGAACCTGTGATTTACTTGTGATTTAAATTGTGATGGACTTTTGAGGGGCTTGAGATTGACTTGTGATGGTCTGTGATTGACTTGTGATGGAATTTTAATTGATTAGACTGTTAATTGATTAGCTCGTGATTGACTGTGCTGCATTGACTCTGCGTTTACAGGAGGCGTACATGATCAGTGCACAGCAGTACACCCAGGTGACTGAGCTGGGCAGAAGGGTGCAAGCATGGGAAGACAGAATCAGCCCCATACTCCACAGGGAGGTAAGCAAGATTATAATGCTGAGCAAATATCACCTGAGTACCAGTCACACCCAATGTACATGTCATACGGGTTTGGCTGGTAACTTGTATCTGCTTAGCAGATGTTTTCTGTGCTTTGCAAGTTTCTGTGGTTATAGCAGCTGTGTGTGAAACTTGACCCTTTGCTCTGTGACCTTAACCAGAGTCCAATGTGAGAGAGCTGCTTAACTTAGAAATATGCTAAGCTTAAGAGAGGAATTTGATTAAAAACAAAAAGGCATTTAGTGAAACTGTCATGTAGTGAATACTGCTTTTTGCTTATCTTTATGGGGTCTCTGGGCACAATTTCAAAGCACTACTTAGCAGCCCATTTTGTGCTAGCATCGCCTCCATCTTTTTCATAGAGACTGTAAGCAGTAAGTACAGCAAAAGCACGCTTAAGCCTGGATAACAGTTGCTAAATAATAGAAATCTCCATGGGCGCGTAATCGTTAGCACGTCCACGCCATGAAATAGTGCTTAATTAAGCAGCGGCATGATTTTCTGCTATAGTAAGCACAACTTTTCTGCTAACTGTTAAGCAGCACTATGAAGTTGGGTTCTATTTTCAGAACTCTATTTTCTATTTTTTTTTTTTTTTGGCATTTGAAGGGGAAAATTACTTATTCCCCTCGGGATTCGGGAATTTCCTCTTTTTATGAACAGTGATCTAAACATCACAAGATGATGTCAAAAATGGAATAGGATCATACATTACGTATTTTAACCTGTTAGTCAGGACCCGTGATACTCCAAGTACCGACCAAACTGCCTAAGAACTGTATGGTGTATGGATTCATCAGAGAATATATTTCAATGTAGTACAATGTAGCACAATGTGGTACAATGTGGTACAATGTACTACAATCTGGTCAATTTCTTAAAATGTCTTTTCCCTGGTTTCAGGAGAAATTTGGTTTCTTCGACATCCACGAGTACGGCACCATCGTCCTGGACAGACTGGAAGAGGTCGAAAAGAAAGAGCAGAAGACCGGGCAGGCCATACCCTTCAGTAAGCTGATGGAGGACAGGCACGCCCACGACATCAGCAGGTTATTCCTGGCGACGTTACAACTGGTATGGCCATCCATATTTGTGACCTGTTCTGTCAAAATCAGACTTTTCTGGGCATAAGGTCAAAAATGAGATTTTTGCATATTGTTAAAATATGTTCTGTTTCCTTTTAATAGGTGGTTTAATTTTTGAAACCGGTCATTCCTGGGCAAAGTTATGCTATTTTGAAGTTCATTGTGTCGAAAAGTAGAAAACAGAGAAAATGGCCACGAACGTCACAAAACAGTAATTTCTTTAACTGATATACCTTAACAAATCATCAAAAATACTATAATTAGAGATCAAATTAGGGTGTCAAACTTTTATAGTATATTTTAGACATGCTCAGGATTACAAATATGCAAAAATTAGAAAATGGGAAAAAAATCACCCCCACAGCGTTTTTTGGCCCTATCTCAATTTCAGCCTCTGCCCAGAAGCGTCTGCTTTTGACAGAACAGGTCACATTTGTAGAATACGAGTCCGTTTAGCCCTAAAGCCCTGTTCATACTGCACGTGAATTTAATTACGAAGCCAATTTGTTTGGGAAACAGGGAACGTCACAATGAAACTTCAGTTATTGATGTCTTGAAATTCACGTAGCTTTCACTTTTGCATCACAAAACAAAACTTAAAATTAAAATTAAATACCTTACTTGACTGTAAGTGAATAATAGTCTCAAGCATCCTGTGAAATCATGGCACCTGGTGTGCTGTCGTTTTTAAGAACAATCAGAATGTTGGGTTATAATTTCTAATAATGGTTGGCTGACAACTCCCTGAAAGTCCGCACTAGTCCTACTTTTATCCTGATTTAATCCTTCAAAGTCATTCTTTTGTCCTGTTTTTAAATTTTTTTTTTTTTGGGGGGGGTTGTTTGAACATTTTGAATTTTGTTCCTACTGTTCTACTTTTTCACCTTTGTCTCCCCCCCCCCCACCACCAAGCTCTCAGATGAGTATAAAGTGCTCATGAAATTCCGTCCGTGAATGGTAAAACTCATAGTTGACCAAACGAGTACACAATTTTTTTCCCCTTTTTAGGCCAACGTTTACAATGTGGAAATTGACAGCAGAGGAACAGACGAAGACGCCATGGACACAATGTCGCTGAAACTACTGAACAAGAAACGCCACAACGAGGAACTGCAGGAGTATAGAGCGCCCTCTTTTGACAAGTAACATTTACACTCCTGGGTTTTTAGTTTTTCTTAACGGTCATGTAAATAAATTATAGAGCACTCTTCATAAAATGTAATGTTTCATGGAATAAATAATTCTTCACGGATGTCATTCCCGTAATTTTTTTTTTCGGAATTAAGGTCGCGCGGAGTATACGCCGCAGCAGACAAAAATCTGCAAATTAAGATTTGAAGTCGGCATATTAGCTGCACCAGCGTATAGGCCGCACCGGCCGTAGCGGTTTCAATTTTGTAAGGCCTCCAAATTCGGAAGTCAAAAGGCTCTGGACCAGTTAAGCCGCCCTGTGTATAAGCCGCAGTTAACATTTTCATGGGCAAAATCAACATATAAACCGTGGATAATATTCCGCAAATTACGGTGCTTAATTCAGGGATGGCAAGAGATCTGCTGCCAAAGACAAATTTTGATGGGTTTTGGAGGGTTTTTTTGGGTTTTTTTTTTTTTTTATCCAGAGCATTTTCGTAATACGATGTAAATATCGAGGCAGGTGTACAAAGGGTTTTTCTTCCAGTTCTGTACTGGAAAACGGTATTTAGTGATCATGAGTGAAATTTAGCATTTGTGATATACATATACTATTCAAATTGTATTCAAAAGTACATAATGTCTTGAAGTATTTAGAACATTTGCTGATGTACTTTGTAAGTGTATTGTATTTTCCAAAAATTTGTCAAATTTGATGATTGTTTTAGAGAGGTATAAGCAAATAACATGATGTATGAACAAAATGTAACATTGGCAAGTTGTCAAAATTTGTATTCTTTTCAATCCTAATATGTAAGTTAAGCGTTTTTGGTGTTTTTTAAAGTTGCGCCAACTTAATAATAGCTTCAATACATGTACAGTAGTTTGCTGAATAAGTCTATTGGACATGAATTTGTAGGGTTGTTTTTGATACAAAATCTTTCTATCATCAAAACTTTGTTTCTTAAAGGCACTTTTTTTGTCCATCTCAAAATACATCGGGTACTTTGTAAATTGTAAATAAAAAGTACAACGTCATCACTAACATTTGTTGTCATGATTCCGACTATTCTGTGGTAAAGTACATGTAGTGCATTGCGTAATTGTGTAGTGTACTGTGTTATACATGTACATTGGATGCGTGTCTCGAATACATGTACAAAATAATTTGAGAAATATGTTGTAGGGATGCAATTTTCAATTTGAAAAGAAGGTCTGAAAATTGGGTAGTAAAGAGAGCTGAAAGATGCATTTCTTTCTGCAGAATATTGATAATATTCTCACAGATTTAAAAGAAAACAAATAGCAGCAATACCACAACCACTATAACTGGAACTTATACTCTAATTTATGCTGCAGTCTGTAGTTACAAATTACAGCACCAACATTAATTTAATAATTTAAATCATCAACTACATGTTCTAAAGTAAAAATGAAGTCATGTACACATTTCGAAATAAAAACCAACTACATGTACATGTTCTAAAAATCTACACATTCTAAAATATAATTGTGGTTTTATTTAGAAAGTGTAGTTGGTGGTTTTTATTTCAAACCGATGTAGATGACTCATTTTTTTTCTTTAGAACATGATGCAATGTGACCTGCATCCACGAACTAGTTAGGACTTTACCCAAGGATAAATTATAAGTTCCAGTTATTGCTGTTGTGACACTTCCGCCACCGATTGAAATGGTTTGATTTCAGACAAATCTGGGATCTCATGTTTAATAGTCCCCCAAAATGTTCTGAGCTGTTATCTGTGATTCCCCCTTTCAATTTACACACAATGGCACACCTTAAAAACACTGCATTACAAACAAACTTCTTGTAACTTCTAAGTAAATCTGAATGTCGAGTTTTTATCTTGCTTAACATTTCAGAAAGTCCCGAATTTGTCTTTTAACTGTTGACTCTAATTGAAGCCTTTGTCCAACTAAAAACATGTGAAGAAAGGACAATTTCACACAAATACTTCCAATTACATGTAATCCTTCATTTCAGAGAAAATCATTTATTTAAATAAAATGTATACATGTAGTACATCTACTCTATTCACAATGCCAACCATGCAAGCACACTGCATGCAGTATACATGTACATGCACATGTTAGCAACAAAATATAATCACACTTTACTTTAAAAGATTTTAAAAATCCATTCCCAAATTTTAAATAAAAAAACACGTGATCAAATGATTATTCACATGCAATTTCTGCTTAGATTTAAAGCTTAGATTACGCGTGTACAATGTACTTCCATAAATGCAGCAGACACGCTTGTGTAGTTTCGCAATGTACTCATTTGTACATGGGCAGTTTAAAAAAATGTTTCGGGATGGCCTTCGTCTACAGCAATCCAGACTGGCTTTTTTACAGATTTTTTAAGACACGTCATGTCATCAGATTTCAAGTTTTGGGTAAAAGATCAAAATGTGATTTTGAATTACCTAATTTAACAGATTAATCACTATTAAAATACATGTAAAACGAAACACGAATGACACACATGTAACTCTGCTGAATGATGCAATGTTGAAGTACTCTGGGGCAATTCTCCAAAAGGGCATGAATTTGTTCACTGCCGTATGGCAGACTACCAAATGTCTAAGTGCAATTAGACTGGTTTGGCTCTATTTTAAAGGAACTGCAGCCGATTTTAACGAAACAGTTTGGAATGTCAATCGTATGACTTACGCAAGAAATATGTTACGCAGCTGTGCAATAAACTTACAAATCAATTTCATGAAACTTGGCATATCTGTGCAACATTTTTAATATTGTAAACATCTTGGATGAGAATTATAAAAGCATTTTTTTTTAGGGCAGTCAAAAAGAAAACTGTTACATGTATTATTCTCGTCCAATTCATACATGTATGATTTTGTTCGGTCACTCAAGAAACCATCGTTGAATCATCTTTGCTGCTATTTTGAAAATACTTTTGCCCGTCTTTCTTCGGAATCATGCTGCAACTCTAAAATTCTGTCACAAGTAAATTAGCAATTAATTAACAAAACAAAACAAAAGCTCCAATGACAGGCTCCATTGCTGAAAAAAAAATTTGGATGGAAAAAAACCTGGGTTCACCATAACCCATGCGTATGACAATTATACATGTAGTTGGAAGCAATTCTGCCTCTAATAGGCAGAATTACTTCCAATACATATGTACAAAACACTGTACTTGCCCAAAAAATTTGAAAAAATTACCCCAAGTTTTATCTTATTACTTTCGAAGATCACAAAATGCAGCATGGGCAAAACGAAGTATGGCGTGGACTGGTGTCCATACGCAGTAAGAATAGCAAACTGGTTTTAACACACACATTTGACTAGGAACTGTTTTAATATAACTTTTGGCACTCTTATTTTGCAGCAGAAGTGAAATTAGGCACATAAAAAAAAACAGGATAGCAAAATGGGTCTTATGCACGAGTCGGCCATATTGAATTGAAAGTGAGGTAAAATTTCTACTTTTGGGACTTTCGAAAGAGAACCGAAAGCAAGTAAACTACTAATTACTTCAAGTCTTCTTCAATGAATAATTTAAAATTTGTAATTAAACATTCCCTAATGTTTTAAGCCAGAATAAAAAACAGATACAGTTGAGTCTCGTTATAACAAACTCGTTCGGACCTAGCCAAATTGTTTGTTATATCAGAATTTTGGATTAAGAGGAACATCAGTCCCATTTATTGTGCACATATATGCACAGTCGGGACCAAGGCTTTATGTTTGTTATAACCAGAATTTTGTATTACCTGTTTCGAGACAAAGTATTGGCCAAACATTTTGAACATCGAGCAACCTTTAATCACATGCTGACCACCGCCCCCTCTCCACCCCATACACACAAATACAAACAGTCAGAGACGTTAAAACCATGTAATTGTTGCCCTGACAAAGAGAGTACGTGCCCACTTTATGGGCGTGGCTAACGTCCAGTTTGGAATGTATACTATAATTTCTACAAACACATGTGCCTTATGGATGTTTCAAGTGTTGTTGTAAAGAACCCTTAACAAAAAATACCTCTTTTCTCCCTCTCTTTTCATTTGGACCACATGCAGTGCAGCAAGATCCCTTCAGAAAGCGAAAGTTTGCTTTTTAATGTTGGATATTTTAAGACGAGAGAGTCACACCCTTATTAGATATAATGTGTGGCTGCTGATAATGGAATTCAATACGACCGACAATTACATAGAAAGCTACACAAATATATCGTGTGGGCCTGAATAAGGAAGGAGGAAGTAATTTGAGCCATAAGTGTTATTTTTGTTACAGAAAGATGACTAATTTAATTAACTTGGAGGAAAGAAATCTGCGGGATGTTTTACTATCGAGAGTCAACTGTACAGTAAAATAAGGCTGCATTGTGCCTGCATAAATAGTCTGGCGCCATCCCATTCAACAGTTAACAATTTATGAAATACATTTGGGGAACTCGACAAAAAAGGCCAACTCGTGCATAAGGCCCATAAGCTACCGTATTCCGCTTTATTTTGGGCATACATGTAAAATGATGTAAGTTACTTTTAGGACCCCTGTATATTTTCGCCGTTTCCTTTTTTCACGGAACTCGACAAATGCGCATGTGACAGTTGTCAACCGAATAGTTCTCGGACTTTACATGTACATGAACATGTACATCCCTGGCCCTTCAAACAAATTCTAAATCTGGAATTTTTTTTATCTGGTTTCTACCAGCTGTTTTTATAGCCAACTTCAAAACATATACTGTAGTGGGTCCTAAAAGTAACTGTTGCCCTATTTTGAGTTGTCATATTCAGTGTCAAATTTCGTTACTTGCAATGCGATGCACAACGTAAAAGAATAACAGAGGTCGTGTCTAGGTTTTATTAACATAGATGTCTATGACGCACCGAGTATATAACTGAAGACCCAATATAGAAAGCGCCCGCTGAATGGTCAGAATCTCCAGGTCAAGACGCAGTCTTTTTTGCATAATTAATCGCCGAATCTGCTCGCATATCATAGGTTCGCAGGGGTCTATTACATAGACTATTGATGGGGCTGCTACATGTATCTGAGGAAATGTGCTTACCAAAAACAAATTTGCTGAGCAGAAATGGGTTACCAGCTAAAATGCCATGTGATGTGTATTACTTGTGACTGGTAATCAGCTGAAATCTGCTTGCCGCAAAAAAATTAGCAGCGCTATGAAATTGCATCCAGTTCTTAAAAAAACAAATCATCAGAAGTTTTAAAAGACGGAATCATCGGTACTGTTTTTAGACAACTTGGGCCTGCATTCGCACCTGCACTCTTTGGCGGTGTTCAGGCGCGAAGACGTGCGCTATCTGCCCCTCGGTGCAGCGGATACGGTCCCCGAATCGGCAGCGATCGCGGGCCATCTCCTGCCAGGGTCCGCGCCGGCTGTCACTGTACTCGCTGCTCCAGGAAGGCGACTCGTTGATGACCAGCGGGGAATCTTCACAGAAATGCACCTTGGTGGGTGGAGGGAAAACAAGGAAACAAATATTAATTTTAACCCTAACCGCCCTGAATCCTCCAAAATCCTTTTTGCAAATTGGAGGAATTTTCAGGATTGAGGTTACATGGCAAAAGTGCGTTGCTGATTTCGGAGTACGCACTGTGTCAAGGTCTTGGGCCGGACCTTGTGTTGTTTATGCTCAGCCGTGCATAAATTTAGTCCTTGATTATACTTGACATCCTCCGCACTGCTCCAGGATGTCACTGCCTCTGCCTCAGCCTATTGACAGTCATAGCCAGAGGATTTTGCAGGATTCAGGCAGTGGTCACCCCTCCATGGACCATATTCAAGAAAAATAACGGAGGAATTTGCAGGATTGAGGCTATATGCTATTTTTCCATGAGGCCAATTGCAGGATTTTTGCAGGATTTTGGCTACATCCTAGCAAAAAGGCCTAGGGAGTTAGGGTTAATGGTCCAAATTACAGTCTTTGTGATGAATGGAAATTAAATACTTTGCACTTTAGGAGTACATGGTATCATAAAAATGGTAATCTTTTGAAATTAGATTTTTCAGTGAAGAACATCCTAGAGAGATATTGTTCAAAATTAAAGGGAATATGCAACATTTGCTTTTGCTGTTATTTTCAGAAATGGATGGATGTGGGGGTTAGTATTTTACAGCAAATATTGTTACACTGACTTGTTTGAAGTTTTGTGTTCGTAGATGCTGGGAAAAAAAAGAAAAACAATCATGTTCCTGTAGTCTGTTTCCCTGACTCGGCTTAAGATGAAACGGAGCAATTTATAGACGTCGGAGAATTGTAAGGTCAGGGAACTAGTCTAGCTGGCTTGTCCCCGGTTATAGTTGTGTAATCCATTGCAAACAAAATGCGGACTAACTAAATATGGTAAATTTGGGGCAGTATTGAAAAAAAATACCAGTTTTTTTTCCCAACGCTGGTCGGCCGACCAGCGTTGGAAATTGGTGCAAATGTTGTCTATTCCCTTTAAGCTCACAAATAGTAGCAGATTAACCCCATTTTCTCCCGGATCCTTGCAAAATTAGAAAGTACCAAGGATTTCCCTAACTTTTCCAAGGTTTTTTCTCGTTTTTAGTACATTTACTCTGACCAATGAAGTTTCCAGGTAGAACACATGCAGCTGGATGTTGCGTTTTCATTCGTGCAAATGAGCCTGAACTACACGTAAATTTAAAAAAAAAATGAACACCCTATCTCATCATTAATACCTTCTTGTTATGAAGAGGTCTGCCTGGTTCACTGCCATCACATGGGATCCACAAACAGCCGGTAGTTGATGCTCGCTTCAGTGTGGGTCTTGGATCCGCTTCCGCCACAAACTGATGCGGTGTCTCGGTACTAGAAGTGGAGTTTTCATTGTCAGCAATGGACTTGGATAGTTCAGTGGTAGTGTTCTGGTCCGGTGCTGGGAGGTTTTTGCAAGACTTGTGTACTACTGGGATTGTCAGATGAAACCTCCAGCCTTGAAGAGGGCTGTACGGGTCGGGACACTGTTGCGAAGAACTCCAGATGTTATCAAAACTGTCTGCATCGCAGTCATCAAAATCGTCATTGTCACCTTCACATTCCGAGTCCGAGTCGGAATCATCAGCACCGAGTATGAAGAGAACGGACGGATGGAGCTTTTGCGGTTCGCTTACAATTGATCGTGGCGCTAGAATGTTTACTGATTTCAACTTTTCACACAAACTTGAATGAGACGTCTCGGTTTCGAACTCCGGAAGATTGGTTGATGCCGTGAGATTGTCTGAAACATGCGATTGCACTTGGGAATGCCTTACAGTGGAGTCTGTCGTGGTACATGGATCCTGCACGGATGCTTTGGAAGTGTTTACAACGTCACTACACACTGAACTGATTAACGGATTCACACTGTCGTTTGATGCACAGGGTGACTCTGCTGAATGTGTTGACTCCTCCAAGCTAGGCTCATCTTCGTCCCAAGATTCGGACGCGGCAGGACTAACGTCCACCGTGTCATCTTGCTGAGCCTGCAGCGAAGAGATCCCAGAGTCCAATTCGTCGTCTGGCTTTGATTCCGTCTCCTGCTCTTGGTCTTGCCTCTCGGAGCGTTTGGCGCAGCGCCAGCCGTACAGCGGGTTGTATGGATCGTCCGAACATTTCAGGAAGTCCCAGGAATCCGAGGGCGGTGACGAACCCGTGGAATCCCAGTCGGAGTCGGAGTAGTCGCTCTCCCTGTCAGTCGTCCTGGCCAGCAGAAAGGCGAGTGAGGAGTGGAGAGGTTTTGGATTGGGGGAGTCGCTGGATGCTGATTCTCGGGGTGAAAAAGTACATATCTGCACTTGATCCTGGGATGAATCCGGGCTTGTGCTTGAAAAGGACAGTCCGCAATCTCCATTTTCGCAGCTTTGACTCTGCGTTGATTTGGAAGCACCGTCATCCTCCAGCATGGAATTGTGCGACTCCTGAATACGTGAGTTTTGAATCTGCTGTGTGTGGACTGCATCCTGTTTTAATTCCTGGGAACCCAACAGGTGGCTTTTCCCATTGCTTGCGTGATCGCCAGGAATCAGGTTTTCTGTGTCTGTGGGCCCTCTATTTTTGTAACGACTAGTTTCATTATATTCAGACTTTGGCCCCATTGCGTTTTGCGCTGCTTTTCCAGCTGTTGCACATATTACCCTGTCAACGGATGATGTAACACGTGCCAGACAGTGCATGCTCTGATCACAGTCCATATTATTATTACATGATTTTTCGACTTGAGATTCAGAGTTTGTGGCTTTTTGTTCATTCTCGGCCTGAATTTTCACTTCATCAGTTACAGGTTCCAGGGGCGTGTCAGTGTCTTCTAACTTGAGCACTTTGCATTTCTCCTCAGAATTTCGATCACTTGTCTTTTGTTTCTTGTTATCTTGGTGTTTTGCTTTGTCTTCTGAAGGGCACTTCGATGCTGACTGGTGTATTGGTGATTGCTTAGGGCTGCCGATGGATTGTTTTGAGGTTGTCGTTTTAGCATAGGGAGGATGTCTGTGTTCTTGATGAGTGCTTCCTGTGTGTACACACCCAGCTTTGTTGGGGTTTTGGTTTTGTTGAGTCATCTCAGTCCTAGTTTTCATCATGGGGTTTCTGACGGCATAGTGGTGAACCCTGTGTTGACTTTGCAGGTTGGTGGCATCATGTCCTTGTAGACGGGCTGCTATGGACTCTGTGTTGATAAACTGCGACCTAACTCTTGGGTCAACAATCCAATTGCGCAACACTGCTGAATCTCTTATCTGGGTTCTCTGGCACCCATGATGCCGGCTCACATGGGATAGGGGTGTGTGCCTGGGACTGGCGTCCGACGTAACCGGTGCAGTGCCGGGCGCTGGTGTGCCATGCCAAAACTGTCCAGACGCCATGGTGCAGTTGGGTCTTTGTTCGGGGATGAAGCGGGTCCTGCTCATATAGGGGTGGGGGTGTTGTTGGTGACGATAGGGGTTCCAGATGGGAGAAATGTTGAAAAGAGGGAAAGCATGAACCGCTGGTTGTTGCATCTCTGCTGCAACTGGAGCTGGATGGCTCTGCCTCGCTGATCCGACCTGATCGGGTGATTGTCTAGCGAAGGGGTGATAAATTCCTTCTTTCACAAATCCTCGCATGCCCCCGCCCCCTTGTTGGGGGTGTACCATTGCAGGCGCAGTGTCACTCATGAACTGTCCGGGTCTTTCCATTTTGCTTTGGTGACTATCAAATTTCTCCATTAAAATGCTCAGATCCACTTGATTGGCCATACTCTCGGAAGATTCACGGACAAAGTTACTTGCCATCGACTGCTTAAAATCTGAACTGTTTGCCGAAAAGGCGAACTTCGCAATGCGGTCCAAAACACCGGGCTTAGGCTTAGGACTGCCCCGAAAATTTGACTCACTTCCGCGAAGATTTGAGGGCTCAAAGCTCGAAAAATCCGAGGTATCGTCAACTGTATCTCCTGTACTACTCAGTCTTAGAAGTGAGGGTGGTTTCCCAACACAATTTCTACTATGAAAACCCGGAACTTCTGCTTCCTCCTTGCGATAGAAACTTCTATTTTTCGAAAACCAACAAGTTTTTCTGTCGCCGGTTGGGCACCGTTTCTGCCATATGGATGGGCGGGTTGGCGCGTGGGAATCCATTTTGGCTGTTTATTTTCTCTCCACTTTGGAGTTCAACTGAAGAAAAGATTCCAACCTTTTCTACTTTAGTTTACTTATCCATAGTTGATCGGATTTTTACTCGGCACAATGTGTCCAAAGACTAGCACTAGCACTAGCAGGAAATGCGAGAAGTTCCACACCCGAAATATGGTTACGATGCCAAACGACCAAATCCGCACCCAACTTCGGAACGTGACAAAAATAGTTCATTTGTCCAGAAGAATATCCCCTCAAACAGCCACCAGATACTCTATACGCAGTTGACAAGACTCCTGAAGACAGCGAAGATTCGAAACTTTCTTGATTTGACTGATTTGACGCCATTTTTGATAAATATTTCGTAATCGTCAGCACAATTTTCAATATGTTCTCTGTATGAATGTGTAAATGCAAAATATACGGGAGTTACGTGCGCGCGCGATTATGTGTATTGCATCAGGTCATCAGAGGTCAAACCGTGTAACCGCCGTAGAATCGAACGAAACATAGTCCCACAATACAGTTTTTTATCCAACTCAAAAGGATCATTTTCTGCAAGGGTAGGTTACATAGAGTAATATTGAGCAATTTTGAGAACAATCTAAAAACTTGTAAGAGCCTTTTTATCAAATTGAAACATGTTGCCATGCGCGAATTAATTGCTACAGAGTGAATCAGTGATGACGTTTAATTCTATTTATGGTAATCGTGGAACTACTTTGCCAGTCATCGGGAAATTACTAGATTTTACCTAGTCTTATTTTGGTTGGGGCTTCCCGGAAATCAGGCGTGGTGTTTGTATACGCATGCTCTATGCTATACTAGTACATGTACTGTGAACAATAAATTTCGTGACATGAAATTTTTAGTCCCCGAATCAAAAGTATGGCGTCCGGAAAATTACCTAGTGTCGAAATCGCGCAAATTCGGTTCCTTCTTATAAACCGATGGACTGTGGCGCTCTTTAAAACTTATGTAAAGACCATCATAATCCACTCACTATTGGATGTATTTCACATATTTTATTTTTTTTACTTTGAGAGCATTTTAATTTAAAAGAATTCACTTCACACTTTAAAATAAGTCCGGAAACACGTCGAACAAATTTTCTCTAGTATTGTCGTAACTTTCTAAACTGGTCGGGAAAGTATACCTCGAGCTGCACAGGGCGAGTCCAACTAGGAAACCCAAATGGCAGGACCAACTTTCATGGGCACCCCCCCCCCCCCCCCCCCGAAAACGAAAAAAATATAGGGGAAAAAAAAGGAAAAAGAGGTGCGAAGCCACATTGCTGTTAATATGATGGGGGGGGGGGGGGGGGGGTTAGGGCAAATGCTCCCCTGCTCACGCTTGGAAAAAAAATGATAAATTGAGAATGATTATAATGAAGAAGTTAAAGGGAATATACATCATTTGCTTTTGCTTTAATTTTCAGAAATGGATGGAATTGGGGGGTTGGAAATATATAGCAAATATAGTTACACTGACTTTTTTTGAGGTTTTGGGTTCGAAAATGCTATAAAAACCAAGAAAAACAATCATTTTCCTTTAGTCTGGTTCCCCGACTCCATTTAAGAAGAAACAGAGCAGTTTACCTATATTGGGGAATTGTAAGGTCAGCTCAGGGAACCAGTCTAGCTGGCTTGTACCCGTTCATAGGTGTGTATAATCGATTGCAAACAAGTGCGATGGTCAACTGGGGCCAGTATTTGAAAAAAAGCCAGTTTTTTCCAACGCGGATCGGCCGATCAGCGTTGGAAATTGATACAAAAATACCACTTTTCTTGAAAATGACAGTATACCAGGTGCCATGATTTTACAGGATGCTTTACACTGTCATTCACTAACAGTCCAGCAAGGTATTTCAAAATGATTTGGTAGTTTTATTTTTTGATGTTTGCAAATGTTGTATTTTCCCTTTAAGGAATTTTTGGGGAAAATTTGCTTTGCCACCCCCCCCCCGGAAAAATCCTGGCGACGTCCATGCCAATTTTGTAATGAAGGTCTGCATGTAGCACTTTCAAAATCTAGGATATGAAAACCCAAATCATTCAAATCATCTCATGCACTTTTCAAGTCACGGAATTTTAAAACACATACCACCGTTTTAAAGTTCTGTCCACGGATCACAAAATAATGCAAGTGTTCTTTCAGGAAAACGAAAACAATTCACATAGGGATGTGCGTGTGACGTGAATTGGTTTCGTTTTGCTGAAAAAAAAACACCTTTTTGTGATCCCGTGGACAGAACTTTAAAGCGGTGGTTGTGTTTAAAATTCTGTAACTTGAAAAGTATATGAGTGATTTGAATGACTTTTATACTAAAAGAAAGCTTAATAATTGGGCTTTCATGTCCTAGATTTTGTAAGTGCTACATGCAGAACTTTAAGAAAATGGTACTGCCATTTGGGTTTCAATTTTTTTTTAATCACCGGACTTTCAGTACTGACTGGCACAATTATTTTGCAGACTTTTTCCTCACAATAAATAAACAATCCGCAGTTTCACTTTTTTTCAATTTTATATAATGAAAAACACACACATTAGCGCGCAGTTTTCGTGGATACCGCTTGTTTCAATAATATTTACAGGCTTTATATATAACGAAAACAAAACGTAGCGTATTTTCATGCACTAGTTAACTTAAAATTAAAAAATTTTCATGCACTAGATAAATAAAATTTTAAAATGCCAGGTATTTTTCTTTTCGTTTGTTTGCAACATATGCAAACAATCAAAGGGGAAAAAAGGTTCTGTTTTAAAAATGGAAACAACTATAGGAGGTCCTTTGTTGTTTCTCACGGAGAAAAACAAAAGATGTACCCATTCTCGCCAAACCAGCCAAATGCACATCGTGGAAATTAGAGGTAGGCCTACGGCGTCATTTACCACATCAAGTCCCGAATTCGCATCGAACCAAGGCGGACCTGAATGATCACACAAGTGCATTGAACAGGGTCTAAAACTCAGAATTCATTTCCAATAGATTTCATTTTATTATATGTTTCTTATCATTCTCTTCATTTTTTGTATGCAAAGAATTCAGTTCTATAAGCAAACACAAACCAGAGCAGAAAATTTGACCCGAGTCAAAACAGACAGTATAACAACAGTGTATGACTCGATTATGCCGGCAGATTGAACCTCTGGTTAATACAATGAAATTTTCATTAATATGTACCAGAGGCATTCATTGTGTGCCGTGGAATTCAGCTTCTGGGTCAGATTGGACCCGAATCGGAGTCCAAATCGGTCCGACACTCTTCTGGGTCAAAAAGACAAAAAAAACCACAATTCTCGTGTCAAAATGATACTTTTCTTTGTCCAAAATGACAGTTTGTGGAGCGTTAAGACGACAACTTTTACCGGTCAAATGGCCAGGAAATGTGACCCAGACAAGAGTCCGACATTTTGACCTTGAAAAGTGTCAGGTCAAACCGTGACCAAGATTTATAAAATGGGTCGAATCTGATGGGTCTTTGAAGAGAGTGAGCGTTTCTTATGAGTTTTTTTTTTTTCATTCTTCAGAAATCAATCTTCTCCTGCTAAAATTATCCGATGTGCTCAAACCCCAAAACATCTCCTTTTCTCACTCTCGTTTGACCCCAAACTAACCCAGACAATTCGAAAGGGTTACTACAGCATTTCTGAATCAAACAAACCCATCACGAGTCAAACAATCGACTCCAAAGGGGTCAATGTTGTCATATTATGCATCCTATTACAATATAAAGGCAATTTTTTTTTTACATATTATTTGTTTCGGTTTATTATTATATTTATATAAGTATTGTACAACCAAGCAAAATAAATAAATGAAAGAATACGAATAACAAAGTCATTAGTCATGTCAGATTAGTTACCCCCATACAATATAAATCACTCCAAACCAGAATGTTATTTTTCCAGACCACCATTATAAAATCATCACACCCTTTATAAAAAAGGTCCTTTTAGACAAGTTGATTCAGATGGGGAGCATTGGCCAACCCTTGCTCTCTGGCTGGCAATTTCGATAAGGCCAGCCCAGCAGTCAAAATACATCAAGTGACTGTTTTTGAACAGTTGAGAGCTCCCTGCCTTCATAAAGCAGGATTGACTGGCTGTGATTGTTCTGAAACCTGATATAGCTATGCTTGGACTGTAGGAGATTGATAAGCCAGCTGTGCCCATACCAGTCACCTGCTTTTGCCTGTTGATGGAATTTGACTGTCACGGTGCCTACAAGATATATGATCCGACTGTTGGTGACTAGTTTGTATAAAAGCCATGGCATGACAGGGGAACAGGATTGCCTTTTTGACTGTCTGTGACTGATCAAACAAAAGGAGGGTTAAATGCAAGTAGAATGGCATCAATAAGTCTTTAAAAATCAAATGATGTTTGATGTATCATGTGAACTGCGCAACCGAATTTGTCGAGCTCATCGTGTGTCATTCATCTGCTTTGCTGTAAATCAACCTAGAAGATTTTAAGCTCATTCGCATCAAGTATTCCATAAATAAAGCACAGTGTTAACACAGTAATTAACAGTCTATTTGAAAAAAAAAACTATAAAGACCACAGGCGATTAAAGTGGGACATACAAGGTTTCAGTGTCGCGCCATTAAGAGTCTACCAAACAAATGTTAAATTAGTTAAAAGTTGGTGTATACGTGCTTTTTTGGTGTGGCACCTTTATAGATGTTCAAATTGAATTGAATATTTTCTAGCATTACATTAGTTATGAGCTTTCCAATGAGACATCGCACGAAAAGAATCGGCCCACGACAAGTAATCAATTAATCAATGTCAACTTTTGAATTAAGAGCGGGACGCTCCTAATTCGTTCTGAATTGTGTGCGCTATTTCTGAACTGGGGCGCGCCATTTAAAACCACTTTTTAAAACTGTATAAAGGCCTGCAAAAATAGAAAAAGTAAATTTATTTGTTGCAGGACATTATTTTCCTTAAAATGTTATTCGGTAAAGAAAATCGGAACTTTAAAAAAGCACGTATATACCAACTTTAAGATTTCATTTTTGAAAGTTACTCCGTAATATATAATGAAACAAATGCTTTGCTAATTAACACATCCTGCTCTCATATACCGGGACAAAGATAGGGTCACCAACTGAAGTGTTAGTTTATGGCTAAAAGGTTAAGCAAATCTTGGCAACAAATATAATTTATAGCGAGTCCCAAATACTCCGGAAATCCACTTCTTGCCAACACACTGATAAATATTTCAACTGATAAAAACAAACCTACAACTGAATTTGTTAAAGAGTACAGTAGGGTCATATGTTTTCTTTTTACTTTTTGTTTGACTTCATTAATAGGTTTTTGGGACAAAATGAGAAGTATATTGCATAATTATCATCAATGAAGACAGGAAAATTTGAAAGGCACAACCACATAATTTGTTTTAAAAACCTATACGAGTTTAACACGATGCTGAATACAGCATCAACAGTATTCGTAGTGAATTCCAAATGTTTTCAACACTGAATTTCAACTGATTTTTATAACATGATAACAGAAAGCTTTGTATAGTCCCATTTTCTCTAAACCCACCTGAGTGTCAAAACTGTTTGACATTTTTTTTTCAAATCTGCAATAAATATTAAGTGTATACGTGACGTTGTACCTACGCTGTACTTACTTAATAATTTTCTATACAATTAAAATCATCAACTGTCCATAAAAGGGGCAAATTTTAGAATGGGGACTATTTTCATCCACTGTATATATCTCATTAACATCATAGTTCCCAACACCCCACTTTAAACTAGTAATGGATCCATTAAGCCCCACCTACTGCGCACGTTGCACAACCAAGTCCAGTTTGTTAGTGTGACGTCACTTCAGGTTAAACCACGCCCACTGCACATTAAGTAGCAGTGAATTGATTGATTCATTAGGCCCCGCCCACTGCACACATGGGCAACAACACGTGCGCCTCAATATCTGGTTCGTTAGTGCAACGTCACCTCAGTTTAAACCATGCCCAATGCACATTTAAGTGGCATTGAACAGACTGATTCATGAGGCCCCGCCCACTGCACACATGGGCAACAACACGTGCGCCTCCATATCTGGTTCATTTAGTGTAACGTCACTTCAGTTTAAACCACGCCCACTGCACATTAAGTGGCATTGAACAGATTGATTCATGAGGCCCCGCCCACTGCACACATGGGCAACAACACGTGCGCCTCCATATCTGGAAAGTGTGATGCTACTTCAGTTTAAACCACGCCCACTGCACAATAAGTAGCGTTGGAACCATTGGAACTGCAAGTTAACGCAACTTGAGTGTTTAACCAATGCTGCTTATCACGTATGCGCGCCCATGTGTATGACAAAGTCACTAACGAACCGGATAACACACTGCATGTTAATGTTCCAGCCGTACGTATCATACGCGCATGTCGGGCTTTTTGTACGCACACACATGTCGGACATTAGCTATGCTTGTGATTGGTCGCAGTACTATTGGGCGGTCTACAAAATTCCCAAAAGTCCTGTCATTTCAGTTAAAAAAAAAACTTAACTTACACCGTTTCCTTGGTTACAAGTCACTTTGAAAAATACCAGATGATGCATTTTTGAAAAATACCAGATGACAGCATACGAACAAGTTATACAATTCACTGAGACAATAGAGTACCAAAGTGCGCCGCGTATTCTGTTCTACGTGCACAGCTCAAGTGTGCGAAGACATCAGCGCGCAAACCAGAGTCAACCAGAACAATATGCGTCACACTTTGGTACTCTATGTGTTTGTTTATATTAAATTATGAAATGAACCGTGCGCAATTCACGTGAACTGGTGTGCGAACTTACGCGCACATGGGGCTCTCACGAATGGTCACGGGCCACCATCTGCTGGTCACATTATCATGACTGTAATCCATTGGGTTAGGCCCTCTGAAATTCGCCTTTTTTTCACAGCTAAAACAGAAACCAGACAAATTACAACTTGTCTCACCTACATTACACATAGATTCCTGTCCTCTGATTGGTCAACAGTTGATCACCTGACACAGAATACTATACTCCATGGTACCTTACAAGTACCACGCCTATCCTTAATTCACTATACCTTATTGCCAAATTTCTGATTAATTAAAGTCAATTTATACAACAATATACAAAAAAAAAAATTTCCAAAGTTAATATTATCTGAATTATTAAAACAAGGAAACAAATTAAGTATAACTCTTTGGGATAACATCTGTAAGCACAGAGACCAACCCTGTTTTACGCATCTGGTCTATTTTGCAAAATTAATCACATGATAATGATTCCTGCTGTGAATTCAGCTATAGCGCCCTCTATTGACAGAGTCCTCTGCTTGATGGTTCTTCAGGCTCAAGTCAATGCTGAATCTGAATAAAATGCTTAGCGCTTTCTGCATATACATGTACATGTGCAGTGGAATCCGGAAACCAGAATTAGAAGCTTTTAATACTGCAGTGGCGTCACGCTCACGCGCATGCTGCACGCGTTCTTACAGACGAGGCGTACACGCATTATGGTATTCCTATTGGTCTAAGGAGCCCGGACTCGCGCGAGCCTGGTGCCACCACAGAAAATGGCTGCCGCCGGATTTGTTTGTACAGAAAGTACACACATAAAGTTCTGTCATGCCTGTCAGACAATAAAACCCAGAGAAATTCCTCCAAAATGCCTATGACCAGCAAAATATACAATAGCATCCTTTCCAAATTGACAAGGGAGCCCCTCAGCATGCACACCAAATACATACCTTCTCTCTAACCCCTCGCCCTGCAAACAGGGCGCTGGGAAGGGCTGATGCTGCTTCACAGACTCTTGTGAAGGAAGTACGGATGGCATTATGGGTAGTTATCATGACCTTGAACCTTCGCATGCAGCCAGCAGGCGCTACGTTGGATAAACAGCTGTAGCGCATTTGTGTGATGCAAGCTACGTCACAGGTCACGCAAAATCTATCCAACGAGGGCTCAAAGAGATCAGCCCCTCCCAGCGTCCTGTTTGCAGGCTAGGGGATACGAGCGAAATATATACCTAGGATAGCGTTCAATATTAGGTAACTGGAATTCACCTTCTGTTTCTTTAGCACGTTATAAAAGCAACCAAAATGGAATGCAATTTTTTGCATGAACATTCGGACATTAAGCACAACCCCCCCCCCCCCCCAAAATATATTTATTCCAAGCATGCATAGTGGGAGAACACCGTAAGTTAAAGCTATTCTTCGCCAAGCGCCTGCTGCACAACTATCTGTTTTATCCATAGAGCTATTTTAAATTACTAGAGCGCTAACTCCTCATTCTTGCGCGCGGAGGCGCTTTGAAGCCGCTCTGTGCGCAGACATTTTGAATTTATGTGCGTGTTTGTAGAACACAATCAAAATAGATGGATTGAATTTTAAAAGTGTACTCTAAATGCAACCCGCAAGTAGGAGATACGCAAACAACTTAAGCGCACCATGACGGTTCAAAAAACGTTGCGGCGAAAAGCATCTGCAGCGGAGGGACGCGCACACGTTGCACTGTTTGCGTAGAGCAAAATGAAACGCTCATTTGCCAATCGTGCGTTTCGGTTTTGGGCGTATCGGCTTCGATGACGCACCGGTATGGAATACAAACGCAGACATGCAAATAGCCGTACAAAAGCCGTACAAAATTTCGAGTTTTCCATAGGTTTGTGCACAAACACGGATGCGCCCATCAGGCATTACTTTGTACATCGAGGTAGCGCTCTAGTAATTTAATATAGCTCTATGGTTTTATCTCAAACTTGCTATATGGCAACTAACTCTTTAGAGCAATGGTGAAAGCGGCCATCTGGTTTTTGTCGCCCTAGTTTGGCGCCCTCTACAACTATGCATCGAGCAGATAGATTTTTTCTTTTTCTTAAGTACAACGCTGCAGCAAAAACAATCAACTAATGCGTGGCCAAGCATGATAACTTTGGTAATCGTGTTGTTTAGGACACCTCTAATATTTTACAAGTTCCATTTATGAATCAAAACCCTGCCCTCTTTCCACAAAATTAAGCTAGCTGATGTTCAACATGGTATCTTAGAGAACTATTTAGATAATTCCAAACACATAAAGTGACTTGTCCTGCTTGTATCATCGCCAAATGTTCAGGTATTAAGTCCCAAAACATAAAAGTTTCTTTCCATTCTCTCAAATGGGAATGGGTTCCTAAACTACACGATTACCACAACTTCTGCACCTGATTTATGCACTAACAACTACCAGCTGTACACTAATGTGGCTTCCCTGCTGTGGTAACGTAGTCGCTGAAGGATGAGAGGGCCATTTATTGCAGAAAATATAATCCCACCAACGTCTTAGATGCTCTTGCTGTTTATCACACAGCGTTCCACTCACACAAATGTGTGCATAGCCAATGGGAAACTGTTGGTATTAACGGTCTGTGCTGTTTGCGTAAATGGAATGCACCCCGGCAACACCAGTTGAGCTTCCATTGGTTGCCATTTGGTTGCCAATTTGATGAGATTGTACACATATATTTGTTGAGTTGAAATCATAATGCCAATTTGATGAGATTGTACACATGTATTGGTCGAGTTGAACTCATAATCTCCAAGATGTTTCTCTTCGCAGCTCACTCCAGTTAAAGTCCACTTGATGCCAAGCTTGAGTAGATGGGTGGTGATTTGGGGGAGAGATGCTCAACTGTATGTATGGACTCTCGCCTCAATGGTGAGGAGATTTATGACAGACCATTGAACGCCGCTGCAACCACTAGCGCCGACGTGAAGACAGGTTGCTGCACATTTAGATGTAGATTAGTCATACGCACTTTGTGCCAGACATACAGGAAGCAAGTGCCTGAACCATGTCTTTCATGAGAGGCCGACTACAACAGGCCACATATTTCTGCACGGAGTCTATGGGCTCTGCGCACAAGTACCCCCTCAACGGCAAGAAAGGGAGAGTCGGGGGAGACCACTGGGAGAGACACTCGAATGTCTTGCCAATGACGCTCCGTGCACAAGTACCCCCTCGATGGCAAGAAAGGGAGAGTTTGGGAAGACCACTGGGAGAGACACTCGAATGCATTGCCGACAACACCTGACGCTCACGCAAAGACATGATGGCTAAACATTTGGAATAAACCAAGTCATGACTTTGCACTATACGTACGCGAACCGCGAACGGGTGTGTCCCGTCCACGGGGCTCTCAAAGGTGGATCAAAAAGCGCCCTCTCTTGTTCACGCACGGATCTCAAACCACTGAATCCGGAGAAACAATTTGGCCTAAACCCACAAGAGACCTCATGGCTCTGGCGAGCAGAGTAATTCTTACAGGCATAGTAAGTCAATGAATCCAGAGAAAAAAATTGAAGTGGCGCCTTTTAAGAACCCACCAGATGTCTCAAGTGCCAACAGAAGGTTCTACCAACTAAGCTATAAATGAATGAAAACAATCCAATATTTGGAGCACAGACATAGCACGCAGTCGCTACGCACCTCCACTAACGTTGTTAGACGCAGTCTTAAAGAGTTCACATTGGAGCCAGGTACCAACCAACAAGACGTCTCAATCCTCGTAACAGTGTCCTACAGACAGAGCTATATATGAAACGAAAAACAAAAACAACCCCAAGATGAACTGCACTCGGTCGCTACGCACTTCCGCTAGCGTTGTTAGACGCAGTCTTCGAGTTCACATTGTTCAATCCCAGGGCCTCTATTAGGTCGTCTAAGACGGCGTAGTCTTTGGCGTCGAGGACGTGAAACTCTTGCGAGAAGAGGACCATCTGGCAGAAGAGGCTGTTGAGGTGCCGGTGGAGGTCAAAGTGCACCAAGAGTTCAAAGTGCGCCTGGTAGATGTGGGCCGTGATGTGGAAGAGAAGTCGCAGGACCCGCTGCACCAGCTGCTCAAAATCACCCGGGAAGACGTGACCTGAAGCACAGTGGGAAAAACAATTCGAGTTCAACGGCCATATTTTGGAAAGGGACAGAAACTTGCTGAGAACGGAAAAGATTCACTTTAATCATGTTAATAGCAAAAACAGGTTACCAGCCAAATTGTCATGGATACATTTTGCTTGTGATTTCTAAAAAACACTCTGGAAAAGTGTGACCTGAAGCACAGTGGGAATAAAAAGTAAAGTGTTCAGTTTAGGGCCCAATTTCACGGAGCTGCTTACCAGATTATCCAATAGGCACAGGAGACACTGTGCCTAGGGCTTACGAAAAATTTGAGACCTATGAAAATACCAATGTGCCATAAAACACATACACGTCAGCCTTACCTTATACGTACTGGTATAGCTACTGTGGATATTCCTTTGTATTTGTGTAGTTAAGAAAAACCGGAGAAAACAAATCATTTTACTCCCACTGTAAACACTCTTTCAAACAAGTCTCCATCTGGTAGCAAAACCAATACATGTGAGACATTGTAAAGGCTTTTGGAGCCACCAGTTTGCCCTGGCTTGCTTTTTTGTACAGCTTAGCATACTGTAGCTTAGCATACTGTAGCTTAGCATCAACGCGAAATGCGAGGCTCCGCAGCTTCAGAGCTGTGTGATTGGTGCCTGTGCCGGTGCCTAGGGCGGAGTAGGGCCTACCGAATACTTTATCTGGCCCCGTGCTTACCATTGGTTAAGCACCAAAAATATTTGCTTTAAATAGCAAATACAGTGGCTTTCTACTGTGTCAGCATGTGGGCAATTCCACGGTTACTCATGTTACATTTTTGATGTACATGTACTTTTGAGTTTCCTTGGTCTGTAATTACCTTACTGAAAAGGTTTAATAACTGTTATCCCCATGGTAGATAGAGCAGACCTAGACCTATCTAAGCACCAAAGATGGCATCCAGAAAAATGTGTTATGTATGATAATCAAGACGCACAAAATCGGTTACTCACATTACGAAAAGGTTACGTGAGTAACCGATTTTGTGCATGTCGTTTATCATACATAACACATTTTTCTGGATGCCATCTTTGAGGCCTATGAGACATCCCTTTTTGGTAAAATGTTTTGGTAAGTGAACTTTATTAAACATTTAAAATGTTTCATGCTTTTCCCAACAATTGAGGGCGCTGTTGCTGTGATGTAACTTTGGGAAGACACTTTCCAGATTAGGATTTTGACCTTCAAATTGTAAACCCAAAATTCTGCTCATTGAAAACATTTGTGCACCAACTTTTCAAGTTGTCTCACTGTCATATACTGAAACAACAATGACCCACTGAAAGCAGAAAAATAACAACAGCAAACCCCTAAAATTCTGGAGACTTTTTTATGCTGAAGTATATGTGAAACTGAAGTTTCTGCCCGGAATGACATCACACTTTTGCTCATGAATATCGAAATTTGCATTAGCATAAAAAAGGCACCAAAACGTCCTTATATGGCAATGGCAATATGAAGATTACAAATAAACTTAAATGGAACATAAAGGTACATTTCAAGGATTTGTTTTCATTAAAAGAAAAAATCCATTACATGGGCCCTTATTGATAATTTTGTGTGAACAGGCTCACCATATTTTGTTGGTAAAACCGCTTCATCGGTTATGTGTTTCTGTATATAGGACATGGCATAGTTGATGTACTGCGGCGCTGTCACCTTGAGTTTCTTGCCCTTGTCATCGTGCCAAAAGTATTGCCTGCCAAATAAAAAAATTCAATTAAATTTACAGTGGCAATAAATATATAACCTGAATGCAATATATGACGAGTTTGTTTCCAATACGTGACATACATGTATGCCATTTTGTCACCTCCTGGTTGCCCAAAGTCAGTTACGTCGGCTGGTTAGCACAGGGTGAGTAAAAAAAAATGAAACCCATTGTTTTATTGAAGTTCTGCATGTAGCACCTTCAAAATTTAGGATATGAAAGCCCAATTCATAAGCTTTCTTTTAGTACAAGAATCATTCAAATCACTCATGTACTTTTCAAGTTACGGAATTTTAAACACAACCACCGTTTTAAAGTTCTGTCCACGGATCACAAAAAGGTAAGTGTTCTTTCAGCAAAACGACAACAAATCATATAGGGATGTGTGTGAATTGTTTTCGTTTTGCTGACCCTGTAGTCAAACATAATTTAAGAATTCAATAAAAGGAACAACGTAGTTTAGAAACAGCTTTCACATGGTGAGTAAAAAAAGAGGAAACCCAAATGGCACCCCCTATTTTTGAAAGACATTTTGCATATTGTAGCACTTTCTTGTAAAAGAATCATTCAAATCACCCATGTACTTTTCCAGTTATGGAATTTTGAACACAAACATTGTTTTAAAATTTTGTCCACGGATCGCATTCAAAGTACGTGATATTTCAGTAAAAATGAAACCATGTCATATCATGAAAACGATATCTGTCACTGCAGCAGCTGTGCAGTGAGTTTGTCTTAAGTTTATTAATTTTCTGAACAAGGTTTTCATAGTTTAAATTTAGAATTCCATTTTTTAGAGTATTACTGCATATTCAGTGAAAGAGCCTACAGTTAATGTTCACCTTATAATAGTGAAAGAGCCCACTTATGTGCTACATTAAGTAGCCTCCTTCCCACCACCAGAGTGACCTTGTGCACTTCCTATGTGCATACAGAGACCCTGTGTGGGTACAAGTACCACATAATCTTGCCACATAAACAATGGGCAGCCATATTTACTGACCATGTGATTTCAGAGACAAGTGTTTTCATACTCATTGCGATTTAGTTCTTCAAGTTTCATCACTTTATTCACTCTTTGTGGACCTTGAAAGACCCCATTTTGGTAAGAAGCATTTTCCTTGATTTTATGAGTTACTTTTAATAAGTTTAGAGACAGAATTCAGTGGATTTTCTGAGATTTTACAGTTGATTATTCATTCAGCAAAAAACAGATTGAACTGCAAATAGAGTTTAGATTTGACAAATCAGACTTCACATTTTTGGACTCAACTTGCCATGTTTAATAGATTAGACTTTTCCATGTACATTTATTATAGTTTTCTTATTAGTGTTTTTTCTGCTTTATTAAATTGCAGATTGTTATCTCAATCTACTCAATCTACTATCAGCAATCACCACCATGTTGTCAAGTGGCTTCATTGTGTTTTGTGTGTGGTTCCTGGATTGATTGTGAATACCAGTCACTTGGGAGTCCTTTTCTCATAAGTTTGAGAACTAGTAGTCCGAAACTCCTCTGGGCACAAGTGAGCCCCGAGGCAGCCACAATAACAATCAAAGGACAATCAAAGTCACAACCAAAGTCCAGTCGTTCCAGAGCATGCCGAGTGAATAAACCCACGTCATGTCGTTACCAATCCAGTCATCTTCTAGTCATAAGTTTGACAAGTCAAAGAAGAGTAACGCCGGTCGAGCAGCAAGTCACGCTGGTCATGTGTCGTCTTACAAGTCAAGTAAGAGTTCCAGTCGAGCCAGTCATGCCGTGTCCGTTACATCATCATATGCACGGCATCAGGAAGAAAAGCTGGAACTAGCGAAAACAGCGGCTGCTCTGCAGGTCCAGCTAGACTATGCAGAGAAAGAAAAACAGCTGAAACTCCTGGAGTTGGAGGCGGCAAAGAAAGTGGAGGAAATGAAGATCGAGAGAGACAAAAAGTTAGAACAACTTGAGATAGAGAGGAAATTGGCCGAAACCCGAGCTGTGATGCAGGTGTACTCATCGCTGGAGCGGGATGACAACAGTTCAATATCATCAGAGCTGTCCGGCATCCCCGCCGACAAACATGAACATATGCAGAGATTCCTCAACTCGCATCAAAGTGATCACCCCCCTCCATTGTGTCCATCTGTGCCCCAAAGTGAAGGCGCATATGTGGACAATGCGTCACTCCAACCAGTTGCCATGGTTACATCAGCCAATCAGAACAGATCTGATGAACAGTCCAGTGTACATCATTCTCATCACCAAAGTGAAGGAGGACGGATGACGATGTCGTCGGCACTTGAAAAGTGCATTACACAGTTAGCCGAGTCCAGTAGACAACAGCATGATGTAAACAAACGCCTTGTTGCATCTAGCCAGCTACCAAAGATAGCCGTCCCCCATTTCAACGGTGATCCACTCCAGTACCCCCTGTGGCGGAACTCCTTCAATTCCCTTATCGACAGCCAACCCCTTGACGCCGACACCAAGCTTAACTACCTCAATCAATATGTGACGGGGAAACCAAAGCACCTAGTGGAGCACTACATGCTCATCGGCACTGAAGAGGCCTACACGCAGGCAAGAAAAGTATTGAACGAGAGGTACGGAAACAGTAGTGTAGTGAGCACTGCTTTCATAAGCAAACTCCGTCAGTGGCCGAGGTTAACGCCGAGGGATGCAGCAGGCTTGAGAGATTTCTCTGATTTTCTGGGGAAAGTAGAGGCAGCACGAGCAACCACAGCAAGCCTTGGAGTGCTGGACTACGCCAGTGAGAATGCTCGTCTAGTCGAGAAACTGCCATTCAACCTTGAGACAAAGTGGCGGGACAAGATTGACTATTGGAGACAGATCCGTGGTCAGGATTCCTTCCCCCCATTCAGCGAGTTTGTCAAACTTGTGAAGATTGCAGCAGACAGGGCAAACATTCCTGAGTTGCAGAGCGTGGTTCGAAGTCAGGACAAACAACGTTCAAATGCAGGAAGTGCTCCGAAAAAGAACACCAGTGTTTTTGCGACTAGTACGAGTCGAGGTGAACCAACAAGCAGAGTGCAGTTGTCCAGTGACAAGAGTTGTCTCTTCTGCAATAAGCGTCATCTCCTGGACGACTGTGAGCGCTTTCTGCGCAAGCCTTTCGCTGAGCGAAAGGATTTCTTCTTCAAGAAGAGACTGTGCATGGGCTGTGCACGTTCCAGTGATCATCAAGTGAGAGAGTGTAACGACAAAAAGGTTTGTCGGATCTGCGCTGGTGCCCATTTGACCTGTCTCCATCGCAACTTCCAACAGAGACGGCCAGAAGAAACTGCTTCAAGTAACCCCCAGTCAGCAGCGGCAAGTAAACAACCAGCTGACAAAGTCCCAAACAATTCATCCCCACCCAAAGAAGTCATTGCTGTGCACCCCAAACGAGATGAGGGAATGTCCAACTGTATTCAAGTGTGTTCCCAACCAGACCAAGAAGGAGAAGGTGACCACTCCATGATTATACCAGTGTTGGTTCGTAGTGAGAGTGATCCAGCGAGGGAGTTCCTCGAATATGCCATCTTGGACGAACAATCCAACAGTTGCTTCGTGTCAAAGAGTTTGTGTGAAAGGATGAACCTGCAAGGACCAGAAACGGAGTTGTTGCTGAGTACAATGCAAGAACAAAACGTCCGCATCAGCAGCAGTCGAATATCCGGGCTTGAAGTGCTTGATGTCAGTAGAGAACACACTGTTAAACTTCCAGTCTGCTTCGAGAGGGATTGCATTCCAGCCAAGAAGTCTCAGATACCGAAGCCTGCTGTCGTGCATCATTGGCCCCACCTGAAGTCTCTGGCAGATAAACTCATGCCCTATGATCCAACCCTGCACATCTCTCTTCTCATCGGAAGCAATTGCCCAAGAGTGGTTAGACCCAGAGAAATCATCGCCGGTGGAGAGGATGACCCTTACGGCCAGAGGTCACTACTAGGCTGGGGAGTAATTGGGAACGTGTGCAAGGCTGCACGACAAACCGATGACCAACCTGCAGTATGCAACAAAGTGGTTGCTGCTGAACCACAACGCTACCAACACTTCGTCTATGGTACGAGGGTGAAAGAAGTCTTAAACCCAGAGAAAGTTCTCAAGGTGTTGGAATCCGACTTTGTCGAGAATCATCAGGGGAAGCCATACTCAGTAGAAGACGAGAAGTTCCTGAGCGTGATGGAAAAAGGAATAAAGAAAGCATCCGATGGCCACTACGAAATGCCACTACCACTGAAGTCTGACGCTGCGACCCTGCCTAACAACCGCCAACTTGCAGTCAAGAGATGGAATCAGCTGTCCGCCAGATTCCGAAAGAATGTGAAGTTTCGTGAAGACTACAGGGAGTTCATGAAAGATGTTACCCCAAAGTGTGCAGAGAGAGTCCCCCTAGACCAACTGGAAGTTGATGAGGGAAAGGTAAACTATGTGCCGCACACCGGAGTCTATCACCCCAAAAAGCCGGACAAGATAAGAGTGGTGTTCGACTGTTCAGCCAAATATGGAGGCGTTTCACTCAACGACCATCTCCTTCAAGGTCCTGACTTGACTAATGGTCTTCTCGGTGTTCTGTGTAGATTCAGGAAAGAGGAAGTGGCCTTTATGGTTGACGTGAAGAGCATGTTCCATCAGTTCTATGTAGAAGAGAAGTACCGTGACCTGCTGCGATTCCTATGGTGGGAAAATGGTGATCCAGAGAAGCCAGTGGTCGAATACAGAATGAAAGTTCACGTGTTTGGGGCCGCTAGCTCACCAGGCTGTGCCAACTTCGGGCTGAAGAGAGCAGCAGATGACGGAGAGGATGAGTTTGGAGCAGAGGCAGCAAACTTCATTCGTAATGATTTCTACGTAGACGATGGACTGAAGTCACTACCCACAGTGGAAAGAGCATCATTACTGATCAAAGCCAGTCAGAATCTGTGTGGAAAAGCTGGGTTGAAACTGCACAAAATCATCTCCAACAAAAGAGAGCTGTTGGAAAAATTCCCAGCAGAAGAGCGAGCCAGTGGTACAAGGGAACTAGATCTGAAGGTTGATGTACTACCAATGGAAAGAGCCCTGGGCGTCACTTGGTGTGTCGAGAGTGACACCTTTCAGTTCCATATTGAGTTGAAAGATAGACCATTCACAAGACGAGGCATACTTTCAACTGTAAGTTCGATCTATGACCCAAATGGCTATGTGGCTCCAGTAACCCTCAGAGGGAAGAGAATTTTGCAGCAGATGTGTCGCGACAAACTTGATTGGGACAGTCCAGTGCCAGAGATGCTACAACCTGAGTGGGAGAAATGGCGTTTAGAGGTTCTCGGCTTAGAGAAGATCCAAATCCAGCGATGTTTTAAGCCCAAGGATTTTGGAACTGTGACAGCAGTTGAATTGCATCATTTTTCCGATGCAAGCCAAAATGGTTATGGTCAGTGTTCCTACCTGCGACTAGTCGATGAGAACAATAAGGCACATTGTTCCTTTGTAGTCGGTAAGTCCAGAGTGGCCCCTCTGAAGCTCGTCACCATCCCCCGGCTAGAACTTGCAGCAGCAACTGTCTCAGCAACTGTGAGTGAATTCCTGCGACGAGAGCTATGTTACGAGATGCTCCACGAATATTACTGGACAGACAGCAAGATTGTTTTGGGATACATAAACAATGAAGCAAGACGATTCCATGTCTATGTTGCTAACAGAGTGCAGCAAATCAGAAGTCTGACTAACCCAGAGAGATGGATGTACGTAGACACCAAAGAAAATCCTGCTGACGAAGCATCACGTGGTCTGACAGCAAAGGAACTTATAGAGAAGTCCTGCTGGTTATCCGGTCCAGATTTCTTGCAGAAGGATGGCCCCTTTCAACCCCAGCCAGCCGTAGTTGCACCACTGAGTGAATCAGACCCAGATGTGAAAAGAGTCTCAGCTTTCGTGACAACAGCTGAGAACAACGCACGACATCATCACTTCGAAGTGAGCCGACTTGATTGCTTTTCATCCTGGAATAGAGCTTGCAGGGCAGTCGCTCTTTGTCTGAGGTTGAAGACAAAGTTGAGGAACAGAGTAGTGAAGAAACCTTGTGAAGGGAAAGTTTGTTCCACTCCTGCGAAGCAAGCAATCACTGTGGCAGAACTACAGAATGGAGAGATGGAAATCATCAAAAATGTTCAGCATGAACATTTCAGTGTCGAGTTACAGGCCCTACAAGAACTTGGTGTAATCGGGCAAGTCACCGATGGAAAGACTGCAAGGGTGAGAAATGACTACCTGAAGAAGACGAGTTGTCTGTACCGGCTAGATCCCTTTCTAGATGTCGATGGCATCATCCGAGTGGGTGGCCGTATTGCCAGATCTGATCTTCCAATTGAAGCTAAGCATCCAGCTGTTCTCCCTTACAAAGGTCATGTCACCCAGTTGTTGATTCGCCATATTCATGAGAAGGTGAATCACATGGGCAGAGGAATGACACACAACGAGCTACGTCAGAGAGGGTACTGGGTAATTGGTGGTTCATCAGCTGTGTCCAACTACATCTCAAGATGTGTGACCTGCCGCAAACTGCGTGGATCGCTGCAGCGACAGAAGATGTCTGACCTACCCGTAGATCGACTAGAGCCAGCGCCCCCATTTTCCTATTGCGCTGTGGACTACTTCGGTCCATTTTTGGTGAAAGAGCGTAGGAGTCAAGTGAAACGTTATGGTGTCATGTTCACATGTATGGCGTCTAGAGGTGTTCATCTAGAGACAGCAAATTCCTTAACGGCAAGTTCTTTCATCAATGCCCTTACAAGATTCCAGAGCAGGAGAGGACCTGTACGTCAACTGCGTTCAGACCAAGGTACAACATTCATCGGTGCTCGGAGTGAGCTGAGAGAAGCGCTAGCTGAGATGGAGCAGGACAGAGTCCACCAGTACCTGTTAGAGAGCAACTGTGACTGGATTCCCTTCAAGCTGAACACACCGCATGCCAGTCACATGGGAGGCGTGTGGGAGAGACAGATAGGTACAGTACGCCGTGCACTAGAGGGTCTTCTTCTTAAAACCACGACACAACTGGATGATGAATGTTTCAGAACCTTCATGACTGAGGTAGAAGGCATCATCAATTCACGACCTCTCACGACAGACTATCTCTGCTCATCAGACGCACCAGAGCCATTGACACCCAATCATCTGTTCACCATGAAACCCAAGGTGGTTCTGCCTCCGCCTGGAAAGTTCCAGAAGGAAGATGTCTATGCCCGCAAATGGTGGAGACGTGTCCAGTTCTTGACCAATGAGTTTTGGGTGAGATGGAGAAAAGAGTTTCTGCACCATCTTCAAGAGCGCAAAAAGTGGGTCAATCCAGTAAGAGATCTACAAGTAGGTGATGTCGTGATCTCCAAGGAAGGAGAGCAGACCAGGAACCAGTGGCCACTGGGGCGCGTAGTGGAGACCTACCCGAGCAATGACGGAAGAGTCAGGTCAGTGAAGCTCTTGATGGCCGATGGCACACGAGACAACCTTGGCAGACGGCAACACTCTCCATCACTCCTTGACAGACCAGTACACAAGCTTGTCCTGTTGGTACCCGCAGAGAAGCCTGAAGCTCAAGAGACCAGAGAAGTCCCCACCGAAGAGCCAAACTGAAGATCCTGCCAGAAGAGACCCACTGCTGACGACAATCTATTTAGTTTATGAACTTTACTTTTTAACTGTTCTTGTTACTCATTAGTAGGTAGATACCAATTTAATTAGTTTGTTAACTGCGAGATGCAGTTAGAGGAGCCATGTCACTGCAGCAGCTGTGCAGTGAGTTTGTCTTAAGTTTATTAATTTTCTGAACAAGGTTTTCATAGTTTAAATTTAGAATTCCATTTTTTAGAGTATTACTGCATATTCAGTGAAAGAGCCTACAGTTAATGTTCACCTTATAATAGTCAAAGAGCCCACTTATGTGCTACATTAAGTAGCCTCCTTCCCACCACCAGAGTGACCTTGTGCACTTCCTATGTGCATACAGAGACCCTGTGTGGGTACAAGTACCACATAATCTTGCCACATAAACAATGGGCAGCCATATTTACTGACCATGTGATTTCAGAGACAAGTGTTTTCATACTCATTGCGATTTAGTTCTTCAAGTTTCATCACTTTATTCACTCTTTGTGGACCTTGAAAGACCCCATTTTGGTAAGAAGCATTTTCCTTGATTTTATGAGTTACTTTTAATAAGTTTAGAGACAGAATTCAGTGGATTTTCTGAGATTTTACAGTTGATTATTCATTCAGCAAAAAACAGATTGAACTGCAAATAGAGTTTAGATTTGACAAATCAGACTTCACATTTTTGGACTCAACTTGCCATGTTTAATAGATTAGACTTTTCCATGTACATTTATTATAGTTTTCTTATTAGTGTTTTTTCTGCTTTATTAAATTGCAGATTGTTATCTCAATCTACTCAATCTACTATCAGCAATCACCACCATGTTGTCAAGTGGCTTCATTGTGTTTTGTGTGTGGTTCCTGGATTGATTGTGAATACCAGTCACTTGGGAGTCCTTTTCTCATAAGTTTGAGAACTAGTAGTCCGAAACTCCTCTGGGCACAAGTGAGCCCCGAGGCAGCCACAATATCAGAATAATCCCATAAGTCTCCGGGGTAGCCAAGTAGAAGGCAGGGTAAGACTATTAACTTTTGACATTATAAAGCATGTTGTTTTGACATTAGACGCAGAAGGTTTTAAAATAAATGTTATGATACATGTAAGTGCCAGTTATCATGATTATGAGAGTGCTCTCATGCGTGTGTTTTTGATACGTAAATTCTTTTCGTTTTGCTGAAATATCACTTACAGTACCTTTATCGTGATTCGTGGACAAAATAACTGTGTCTGTTTTTCAAAGTCCATAATGGAAAAGTACATGAGCGACATGAATGATTCTTTTACTAAAATAAAGCTTACAAATTTGGCTTTTACATCCTACATGTACATGTAGATCTGGAACAGGCTATGTGTGGGCAATTCCACACCAAAGTGGACATGACACCAAAAAATTCAAATACATGTGACTTAAACAAATTTGGTGTCAAATGAAAGCTAAAAGTCTATATTTTCAAGATTTGAAGTCGCAATTTTATTTTTGATACATTTCGGTACCAAAAAATAGGATTACGTAGTAATCTTGAACATTTTAATCCTAAAAATGTGATTAATTGTGATATGAAAGTATTCTACCAATACACACACAAAAATATGTACTAATGACATCAGTTTCTGTCATGAGAAAGTATAGGTCATAAAAAACTGACTGAATTTTGTTTTACATTTTGCGTAATTTGTTTTGCTTCAGTGACTTCTAATATTTCAGCCTTCGAAAATGTCCTTCCGTTACCGTGGAATTGCCCATGTAGAACTTTTTTTAAAAATAGGGGTTGCCATATGGGTTTCCTTCTTTTTTTTTTGGTTACTCACCCCTGTGCTGTTTAAATGTTCTGTAAAATTCTAAAAACCTTGCAACTTAATTTCTCCAATGGATATCACATTTGAAAATAAACTCCTCATATCTATAAGAAGATAAGAATCCCAACTGCTTATGCCTTTTTTTTTGGGGGGGGGGGCCCCTTCGGGGAGAAGAACTTTACCATTCTTCACACTACATACATGCACCGGTATACTATGGTCACTATACGATATGCAATTTCAGTGTGCAGAACTTTCTTTTCAATCATGTTTTATTTGTACGGGGTGTATAAAAAAAACCCCGAAACCGAGATATTATTGCTAATTAGAACAGAAGTAGGGCACATGTGAATCAAAGGGAGGTATCCTCTGTTAGGGTTGAATCTCCTCTTTAACATGACACCCTGATCATGTCATTACATTCACGGTGGACTGAGCAGTGAACAATTTTATGAAAGGGTCTATTTAGAGAATTGCGCCACTTTTCAATTGTGGTTTTTGTAGTGTCATTGTCACAGAGTGAAAGGCTATGGTTGCCAATCAAAGCAGCTGGGGAAAAAAAAGAGAGATTTCACTATGAAAAGTGGCACAATTCTCTCAATAGACCCTTATCCACCCTGTACAATACCTCATTTTTCTCTTACAAATTCCCTCCCACGCATATTATACATGTACATGCAATGCTTTTTTATCTAAAAGCATTTGCTCAATACATTCTAATACTAGGATACTTTTTGAAACTGTGTATTGAACGATCATTAAAGAATCAAAATGGGCTTTACAGTTGTAATGGACTTTGTATTGTGCTTGGATAACCGGTCCCTCTTAAGAGGGCACAGCTTTTAATGAATTGACGTCACACGTTGCAAACCGGATACCGAGTTTGTTTGCCCTTCTCCTTAAACGCGTCCAGGGGTTAACGGATAATCTATTTTGAATTCATGTACACCTGCAATTTTATACAATGTATTAATTTTCAAAACACCGTTAGAAGATTACTGCACTATTCAGACAATTCTACGTACCGGTACGTCTAGCATAGCTGATTTTTTTTTAATGGAACATGTACGTTACATACATGTTCCATTAAAAAAGTTGAATAAATACAAAATTTAGCAATTGTACGCTTCTTCATCCAAGGCTTAGCTGTCATTTTAATGTAAAAAATCACAATGAAATTGGATGATTCATAAATGAATCTGAGTATGATTAGGACAAGAAGGCCTCCTAAAAAATTGTTAAAAAAATTATTTGTATAAGCTTAGGAGCGGTCTCAGTCAAAGTCCTTCAGAAACATAATTTATACCCTTCTCTATCTATTTCAACACTGGTAGCCTGTCATTGAAAGTACCCTGCAATGGTGTATCCAAGTTCGGTTGTTTGGGGGTTTCTGTTGTTTGTTTGTTGGTTTATTTGTTGGTTGGTTGTTTGTTTTGGGTTTTTTTTTTGTGTGGGGGGGGGGGGGGAACTGAATGTTTTCATGAAAAAAAAACGCCCCAAATTTGATTGGTACCAGTTAAGACAAATGGCATTTTAAACGCAGTTATTTACTAGTGGTAACTGGTGGTAAAATGTGGTGTGTTTCAAATGTTTTAAACAACTTAAAACCACGTGTTGGTGAAAATTATATTTTTATACAATGCTATTAAAACATCCCCGTCATCTGATTGGTGGGTCATTGGTGGGTCACGAGTCACTGAATTATTTGTCCAAATGAACCGCGCCGCCACACCGCAAAAATAGTTCCATTCCACTGTTAAAAGGTCTTCCATTGCACGGTCCCTCTATTGGTGGCGCTCTATTGGCTCTGTTGCTGTACATTCACAGTACCAGTTTCCAAGGTTACCAATCAGACAACGAGGTTTTATTCAGGCGTTGCATAAAACAAATAGTGAATATTTTATATCTGTGCAATGGAAAGAATGTTTTCATCCGGCGACAGACGGTATGTTCCATACAGACGGTATGGAACATTCCATCTGTCACATCATGAAATTATTCTTACCATTGCACTCATAAACATTCTTTATTTGCATAATATTGCATATTTTTTCTTGGTTTTCCAGCATCTACGAACACAAAACTTAAAAAAAGTCAGTGTAACAATATTTGCTATAAATTACTAACCCCCCAAATCCATCCATTTCTGAAAATTACAGCAAAAGCAAATGTTGTATTCCCTTAAACATTTCAGTGGCACTGAAAAAAACTGGACGACAAAATGAAGAAACATCAGACACATTCTTTTTTTTTTGGCTTCACAAAATGACACACTTACGTGTTCCCCGGTGCCGACATGCTAGGGCATGTATCATTTGTGCAGGCTTCACTCGACGTGACTCCATATAGAACATTAACATTGTTAAACAATTCTAGAGCTGAGGAAAGAGAAAAGAAAAAAAATCAATAAATAATTAATTGATTGAATTTATAAAAAGCATATGCATGGTTTTATCTGATGGATTTGGCTCAACTGACGTCAGCAGTGTGTGTTTATTTACAATGCTTTATGCAGTGGTTTCTACATGTATTTTACATTCAGATTTTCATATTTTACATTTATTTACTATAAATTTAGGATCCAAAGTCTGACATTTTTTTAAGCTCTGGCAGGAGTTTCTACATGTCACTTGGTGGTCTGTCGTTTGGTCGGTCTGTTGGTCCCCGAAAATTTACCAAAAATATTTTACCAAAAATACTTTACAAAAAATATTTTACCAAAAATTGAGCAAATGCCATGTCGTCGTCAGTACATGCACCCTAAAAATTGTTTGTAATCATTCGTAAAGTTGTTTATGAAAATTGTGTAAATGGATGCAAGATATGTTCAGTATGTATATTAGTCACGTGGTATTTTGTGTAGCAGGAAATGAAAAAAGACCATTATCATGTTGCGGCCATCTTGATTTTTTCCCATTCAAATCAACGTTACCTGTCCAAAGGGTGGCTGGAAGGAAAAATAGTCTGGTTCCTTTTTGCACAAAAAAACAACATTATCATTCAGTACTGTTATTGGATACAGGGAACACAACTGAAATGTTGGCAGCATGATAAAGGCCTATTATGGTGTTCAACGGCCGCGCCGCGGCCCGGGCTTGCCATTGTTCCCTGTTCGACCTTCAACGTTGAATAAGTAGCCAGTTACTTATTCCACATTCACAAAAATGGCATCAAAATAGAAGCAAAGACCCTATTTTTACGTGTATGTGGCTCACAAAGTGCTGCAATTAACATTCTGTGCATGCGCAATCGATCCTTTTGTGCTACCCAACACGCAAAAAACCCAAGGCTCGTCGAAATGTACCCAAGGCCTGACCAAAATTCCCAAGATCTTGGGAAAAAATCCCAAGGCTCGTTCAAATGTTCCCAAGGCCTGACCTTAATTCCCAAGATCTTGGGAAAAAATCCCAAGGCTCGTCGAAATGCTCCCAAGGCCTGACCTTAATTCCCAAGATACTTGGGGAAAAATCCCAAGGCTCATCGAAATGTTCCCAAGGCCTGACCTAAATTCCCAAGATCTTGGGAAAAAATCCGAAGGCTCGTTCAAATGTTCCCAAGGCCTGACCTAAATTCCCAAGATCTTGAGAAAAATCCCAAGGAGTGACCACGCTGATGGATACTACTCACTATTGGATCCCAGCCACTCGTTGTGATCGAGCCCCTTGGGTAACCGGACAACTTCCCGGATGTCGAAGTCTATGATCTGCGCTCCTAGATACTTGGGCTCCAGAAAGAGCTTGGGCTCCTCGGGCGTGGTCGCTGGCTGTGGTTTCTTGTCTTTCCCTCTGCCAGCTTTTCTGTGTGTAATAACAACAGAAATGGAATTAAGATCCAGAATTTAATTGTATGAGTTTCTTTTCCTAGAATGCAGTGTTTTAAGTTGAGGCACTTGAGTCGATTCCGAGTCTCACGTCCGAGACTGAGTCTGAGTGGCCAGTCACTTGGTTTGAGTCCATTTTAGCAACAGAAATGGAAACACATGTAAGTTGAAGTAAGAATTTGCTTGAGATTCTTTGCCTAGAATGCATTGTTTTAAGTTGAGGCACTTGAGTCCAGTCCGAGTCTCGAGTCACTTGGGTTGAGACTGAGTCTGAGTCTCCAGTCATTTGGTTTGAGTCCATTTTAGTAACGGAAATGGAATCAAGTTAATAACTAAAAATTTGCTTGAGTTTCTTTACCTAGAATGCATTGTTCTAGTTGAGCCACTGAGTAGAATCTGAGTCTGAAGTCACTTGGGTGGAGACCGAGTCTGAGTCTCTTGTCATTTGGTTCAATTGAGGCCATTTTAGCAACGGAAATGGAATTAAGATAATAACTCAAAATTTGCATGAGTTTCTTTGCCTAGAATGCAGTGTTCTTAGTTGATCCACTTGAGTCGAGTTGGAGTCCCAGTCTTGAGTCACTTGGGTCAAGACTGAGTCCGAGTCTCCAATCATTTGGTTGGAGTCCATTTTAGCAAGAGAAATGGAATTAATTTAATAAAGATCTTAGTATTTGCTTGAGTTTCTCTGTCTAGAATGCAATGTTCTAATTGAGCCAGCCTCTTGAGTGTACACAGTCCCGTGTCTCACGTTTTGTTGGTTTGACTTGAGTCCATCCTGAATCACAAGTCTTTTGAATCAAGTCCAAGTCTGAGTCTGAGTCACATAAATGAAATGGATGTACATTGCTACTCAAGAGGGACTCGTGTCTGAGTCCTAGACTCAAATCCTACAACACTGCTAGAATTTCAACCAATTCTGTCCCCTTGCATCTTTTGATGTCAAAAGGGCTTCCAAATCAATCAACCATACTTAGTGAAACAGTTAACAGTTATATGTAAAATTTACTGCCTATAACTTCTCATTATCACTGACTATCAACAACACAACATGTTCATTAGCAGCTTAAATAACATTATCTGCATCACACAAGTGAACACCACAGTTTTGCTTAATCCTTTAGTCATCCATTAGGCTTAATCCTCTCAGCTAGCTTTGCAATGATCTCTATTGTTGGAATAACACTAAACTCCACCCTGTACACAAAACACATGTTACAATTACAGTTATAATCAAAACAGTTGTCAGTTGGTAATGGTACTGGTAAGTTCAGCCAACTGCAATAACTTCTAGGATTAATTCTTTTTTTTAAAGATTGTTAAAGTAGACATAAGAACTGCTTGGACAAAATAAACCCCAAGCTCAAAACATTTTAGGCAATTAAAGCTTTATGTATTAAAGGGAATATACAGTCGGCTCCCGTTATAACGAGGTCCGATGGACTTTCACAATACTGTCGTTATAGCCGGAACCTCGCTAAAACCGGAGCGCAGTTTTCCCCATTCGTTGTGCACAAGGTACGGTACATGTGCGTGCGTGTTTTAATCGTGTAACGCACGTCCGAAGACATGAAAAGATGGTCATTTGTTGGTATGTACGTCTGTTAATAATGTATATTAAATATTTAACTGATGGTGATGAATAAATGAAATAAATAAAATACCTTTGAGGGAACATTGTTCAATATTTGAGGACCTGAATCCGGAGGAAAAGGCATCATCGCTGAGAAGAATCAGGCAAGTAGGTCACTCGCACAAATCGTGCCGAGTGACATTTTGCTTTCATTTTGCATTTGCTGGAATCGGGCAAGAGAGGGCGCCAATACATGCATTACTTCCGGGTTTTAATGACTCCTGATCCTTAGATGCTTTTTGGTTGTTGACTTTTTGGAACAGTTGGGTATTATTGTTTCTGAAGGGATTCTTTGAAATTGTAATTATTTCGGTTAACTATAGCGCACATTCGTGCCAAGTGACATTTTGCTTTCGTTTTGCATTTGCTGGAATCGGGCAAGAGAGGGCGCTAATATTACTTCCGGGTTTAAGTGTCTAAATGTGTAATTTCGCAGCAATTGGTGATTATTATTTGTCGGGAGGGATTCTTTTAAGATAATAATAATAAATAAACAAAAGTAATAATTTTGGATTAAAATTTGTACAATGTATATGTGGTGGGGCGTTTGAAGATCTTGGAAACCTGTTTTCATTGGGATTGTTTTTTCGGCGGGGCCGGAGGGGTTCTTAATTTGTTTAAGATTTTTATTTTTTTATTCTTCGGATTCTTTTTTGGGGGTGGGAAACACGGTATGTTTTAAACTTTATTTTTTGAAGACAGACTGAATTATCTCTGTTTGGAAGTTGTGGTGGCTCTGAAAAGAGCCGTTTGTTTTGTGATGCTGTGTTCTTTACTTCGTATTTTTTTTTTATAGCCACAAGCCAACAATAGGGAGCAATTACGCACCCGATGTTCGGGCGGTAGTACTAAAGGCTATTCCTTACAATGTTAACACTTAACTCCTGAGCGCCCCCTATTGTTAGTTTGTAATAATATAGAAACGTGGTACCGCAGTCGTAAGCAAACTTCAAACCTGGTCACGCTAAGGGAAACCGCAGCGGGGGATTAGCGACTAGACCAGCGGTCCACTGCGCCGATTATCACAGTCCCATTGAATTTATTTATAAAGATCGGCGAGATGAAATAACGTTGGGTTGAAGTCTTTACAAAGGTACATTGATGGGTGAAGCTTAAGTGTGTTGCTTGAATTGGAAGACGGGAGCATGATACCCGTTTCGGGACAAAAGGTCTGTCGTTGACAAGCTGCAATGCCCGTAGTTTTGAAAAGATGTCGTTGTAAATGGGTTGAGAACAATGCTTTTCCTCGCATTGGGTCAGCCAAAATCGTCGTAATAGCCGAAGTCTCGTTATGTCCGTGCACGTAATAACCAAATATTTCCCCATAGTAATGTACACAAATTGATCGGGACTGGCAGAATGTGCTCGTTACATCCAGGTTATCGTTATGACCGAGCTCGTTATAACGGGAGTCGACTGTACATCATTTGCTTTTGCTGTAATTTTCAGAAATGGATGGAATTGGGGGGTTGGAAATATATAGCAAATATAGTTAGACTGACTTTTTTGAGGTTTTGGGTTCAAAAATGCTATAAAAAACAATCATTTTCCTGTAGTCTGGTTCCCTGACTCCATTTAAGAAGAAACAGAGCAGTTTACATACCTTGGGGAATTGTAAGGTCAGGGAACCAGTCTAGCTGGCTTGTACCCGTTCAAAGGTGTGTAATCGATTGCAAACAAGTGCGATGGTCAATTGGGGCCAGTATTTGAAAAAAAGCCAGTTTTTTCCAACGCTGATCAGCCGATCAGCGTTGGAAATTGATACAAAAATACCACTTTTCTTGAAAATGACAGTATATCAGGTGCCATGATTTTACAGGATGCTTTACACTGTCATTCACTAACAGTCCAGCAAGGTATTTCAAAATGATTTGGTAGTTTTATTTTTTGATGTTTGCAAATGTTGTATTTTCCCTTTAATGTCCGTGACAGGGCTTTAAAGAGCTCAGTGAATAAACCTGAAAATGTGTTTTTCCAAGCTACACATAGGCCCTACTGTATGTACATTGTACATCCATCATGTAGTAATTACCGCCGGACAAGTGACTCGATTACTCGAGTACTCGCGAGTAGTTTATGCTACTCGTTGTCCTACTCTTGGTTTTTCATCTACTCGAGTACTCGTCCTGGCGCGAGTACTCGTCCTGGCCAGGACGAGTACTCGTCCTGGCGCGAGTACTCGTCCTGGCACGAGTTCTCATCCTGGTCACGAGTAGAAGCAGGAACTCCCGAGTAGCAATTTAGGGTTTAGGGTTCACGGCTTAATATGTCCCCTGCAAACAGGGAATCACTCCCTCCACCTCTCTCTCCCTAGGATTCCATTCGTAAAAACACAAATTCAAGTAAATGACCCAAAACGTTGCACAGTAAGGATATCTCAGTGCTGAAGAATGTGGTACGACTTGCACGCTATTTGCTTAATTCTAGTTATTTTCCATCATACATGTATACCCCAGTACATGTCATTTTTCTGCTTTTATGGGAATTTGGTTAACTACTCGCGATGTACTCGACTACTTGTGAGTAATTTCTTTTCTCGAGTAGAAAAATCCACTTCTCACCCAGGCCTATAGTAAAAGTCAAGGAGATTACAGACTAGTTTTGGATCATTTCTCTGAACATACATCATGTTCTGTCACAGACACTGCACTAAAAACGAACTACTAATGGAAATTAGTAGTAATCCAAAAATGGGTCTTTAGACGCATCATTGGAAATGGCCTTCTTTCATCATTTTCTTCAAAACGACAGCTTGCCAGAAAGAATAATTTCACACGGAGTTTAGTCCCATTACATCTTTAAACCAAGAAAGCTTTTCAACGATAATTTTGTCAGTTACTTTTTGGATAGCAGCAAATGATGGACTGAACCTTTAATAATGAGACCTTTCTCCATGCGCATACATAGAGACCGGTACATGTACCGGTCTGAGCACTACACACATTCATGTGCATGTAGCCCCACAAGGTGCTGCAATTTACTCCATACCCTGCTCAGTCGGTCAGTGGCATTTCATGGCTTTGTCATGCTTGTGCTGCATCTGAATACGTGTGCATCTTTGAATATTATTAAGACACAAAAAAAAACAGCTATACACCTGATCCTAAGGATGGTAACACTATAGGCCAAGCAGCCTGGAAGTCACAAGTCTTGATGTTGGTACGTGTGACTCTCTGGCTGTGAATACCAAGGGTGTTAGGTTGTTTGAGGATCATTTGAAATTCTATATGAGAAGTACCAGTGAAAATGCGAATTTATATTGGGTTATTTGCCCTTAGCCGACGCATTTTATAAACACGGTATACTCAGTGTTGTTCCAGGGCTTGCAAGAATAATTCACAAGC